GAGTAAAGGCAGGTAAGAGTAGAGGTGGAGTGGTGAAGCAGAGGTTGTCACTTGGAGACTTGGTCTTCTGTTAGGGCAACACAGGCTGACTAAGTCTGCTCACCTAAGAGTGCCAAGAGTCTAAGCAGGCAACAAGGAAGTGGAGTAGACCTGATGACTAAGACCTATCTACAGTATAGGTACCTGTGGATGATCCTAAGAGACCAAGTCTGAAGAGACAGTCCCCAGGCAGAGTAGGCCTTATATTTATACCTCTGTGGTGGAACCTGCTAGAACATCTTGCTTACTCAGCCTAGTCAGGTGATCAGGTCATATGACCAAGGATGAGGTCATATGAGGTCATGCACAGCCATGCACAGCAGGTCACCTGACCATCCAATCCTTCCAGCAGGTTCCAGCACATGCCAAGGTATACCAGCTACTTCCATGTCATAAAGGCTTAGTCATGTCTCTTGACCAAGCAATGAGCTGGTGCCCTGACACCCATGCATGTTCAGGTGGCATGGACATAGCTAGGTAGCATTATACCTAGGTTGTCTGGGCTACCTGGGTGGCACACCACAAAGGACCCTTCAACATGCAGTGAATGCGTGTTTTTTGATCCTCTGCGGACTTCGGAGGCCACTATATTTGCTCCCGTTATCAATCTGTATGGCTAAGTACATGCCTTTTTCGGGAAATGACAGACACCATCCGCTTCCGGGCATGACGTGACTCCTCAGGGACGCGTCGATACCATGTGGCACTCCAGTGGTATGACTAGCCTTTCAGTGCACTACTTATTTTTCGTTCGCGCTTTGCTTGCGATACCCAATGGATGAGGATGTAGAGTTCCAGGTGTCCGTCATTCCTTCTTCTCTAATACTAGTGCTGACCATGTGATGTTTGATCAGGGCAATCGCTGCGAGTTTGGCCGAAGCGCAGCCAAAGCAAGAGCGACAACGAAACCTTGAGGTGGTTGATCCTACTGTTGACAGCCCCACATCAGAAGACGAGGAGGCTCGGTTCGAGCGCGAGCTAGCTCTCGCTCTTGAAGCATCTAAGAAACGTTCTTTCGTCGTTGCTCCTACTCGCTCGTCTCCTACCGCGTCTTTAGCTGCGCATGCAACTGCCTCATCTGCCTCTGCCGTGGCGACACCTCCGCTCAGTGAACCTCTGTCGTCTGTTATCTCAACTCCTGGACAGATTATGGAAGCTGGTCCCTCTAGCTCTGTATCCTCTTTTATGAGCGAACGTGCCATGCTGGAACGAGAGCGACTGGCGCGACAAAAGCGGCACCTCGAGGAGCGATCAATTAAGACTAATACCAAGCGCCAGCGAACTGAGTCACCAACACCAGATCCATCTAGTGCTCCGAGCTCTCCTGATTTCAAGCACAATGCCCTTCCCAGACAGGCAGGAAAGACGACCTTGGATCCCAGTAATGGATACTTTTGGGATGGAGAGATCCGCCAGACGACCAATACGCACGTCAAGGTCGACCCAAACAGACCAAGATTCAAAATTACGGATATTGTATCTCCTGTATGTGCAATGCTCAAGTGTACTGATTCCGCCGCTTACAACCTTCCAACAGGCCTCTGATCTCGAATTTGTCCTCTTGTCATCATATTGTACCGATACACCGTGGTTAACAACGTTCTTGCCCCGTGAGGTAATCCGCTCCACTTTTCGCAGTGCAATCCGTATTGATCCAGGGTTAGATCCCAGTTCTCCTTGTGGTTGATCCAGATCCGAGCCAGAGACACGATGCAAGTCTCAAAAACCTCGGAATTGGTGACTGGCTTCGTGTCACTCCCCGGATATGGCAATCCCGAGGCGTGATGCATATCAAAGTATGATCACCTCTGTTATCGGGATTTGCGCACTGATTCATATTTTTCTTGGATGTGGATAGTTATTACTTGTGCGTCGATTTGTATTTTCAGATGCGAAGTCACTGAATGCATCTAGCTCTTCTACAAGTCTGGGCGATTACGAGTTGCTATCCCAACAGCGAATTTAGTTGATTACGACTGGCGGGACATTGAGAATGTAGTGTTGCCGCCTTGCCGCCTTCCCTCGTTTCTCACAACTCGTGCAGACCGTATTCGTTCAAGATCTCCCACCTATCACTGATTCCTCGGCCGATCCCCAATCACACGATTTCCCTACATACCTTTGGGGCGTGCTCAAATCCTTGAATGTCCCAGCCGGTCTTCTCAACCTCGTTAACTCAGGTTATCCTTCCCTTCCTCTACAATCACTCCAGAACCTGCAAGACAAGTGGGATTGGTGCAAGATGCGCGCCAGACTGGTCGCGAGCGTGGCAGGAAACTACGAAGGTTGGTATAATGTCAGGATGTACGGACATCCGAGGTTATCTGCGATCATCCGAGATTCTAGAGCACAGCCCAAGAAGGGCAAAGTGTTGAATATTGAATGCCAGGTAAGTGAGCAATGCTCTCAGCCAGAGTAGCCACTGATGCTTCAAAAAGGGTTCATCAGTGGGGAACTGTACCACCCAGTATCTGAACGAGGTGTACAAGTCGTGTTGCGGGATCGACCCAATCTCGTGGATTGACATACCCATGTCGCGGCAGGTAAGACAGCCTTGGCCGCCCGTCAAGATCCTCTTTCCAACTTTGAAGACAGTTGATGATTCGGTATTTGGTCGAAATGTGAGTTGATCCCAGTGAAGTGTCCAAACCACTCATGATCAGTCGTAAAGGGCGGTGGATCGTTCTTTTGCAAGAAGCCATATTGGTCCAAACTAGGGTCACCCAAGGAATTGTTTTACAGTGTGAAAGCAAAGGACGGTCAGGTGTTGATGCACACTAAGGCAGGCTCATCCAGGACTCCCTCCCCATCGCATATTCGCTTAACCCCGTCGTGTAGATGATCGTCGGCACGTACAAGACCGGTTCCCTCCCAGTGCTTCGCCCGGCACCATTAGCTCTTCCTGCCAGTGGGAAGGGAAAGGCGAAAGAGAAACCAGAGGTGATTGTGCTCTCTAGCGATAGCGAGACGGAGGCAAGTACGACCGAAGACGAAGAGGATGCTGGAGAGCAAAAAACGCCAGAGGCTTGGGTCTACATGGGCAGCCATAACTTCACCATGGCGGCATGGGGGACCGTCAGTGGCTCAATTTTGGTACCGAAGCTTAATGTGAGCCGAACAATGACCCTTTAAAACAACATGACTGATTGGATTGATCGCTGGTCAGATTTCGAATTTCGAAATGGGTATTGTCCTTCCAATTGAGGACCAGAAAGAGCTGGAAAGGATCGTACCTTGGGAGCGGCCGCCAAGACGATACGGGCCCAAGGACGTGCCCTGGGTAGGTGCCACACAATTTGTTGTGTAGGCCACATCTTTAACGAGCTTTCAGATGCAGGAAGAGCATCGAAATTCAGACGAGCCCACTTGGCGACAGCTGGCTGCGACAGATTGAGCGAGGTGTCATGGGAGGCAGCCCAGCGGATATGACTTGACTCTCGTTACACTCGGTGTCTTATCTTAGCAACATGTAGCATTGCGTACTTCCTGGACTAGAGGCGCCGTAATGCCGTATGGCACCGGATAATTTGTAATATGGCTGCTGAGCAATAGACGGAAGAACGGATGAGGCGTGTGGTGTGGAGACCCCGCTGTCGCCAATTGGGCGCGGCGGCTGGTCAGGGAGGAAGGGAAGGGTAAACGGATCAGGCGCTTCGTCCTTCCTGCCGCCCTTGTACCTTATCCCCTCCCTTGTATATAGATGTGACCTCGACGGCCTCCACAGGATGAGCAACGACTTAAGCGTGTTCAGGGCGTCTTCTCTGCTTGCTGTGGGTTGAGCCAACATAAGTAGCAACTGAGCAAAGGCCTCCAAGCACAGGCCACAACAACGATGGCATCCTTCATCTCCTCTCTGCCATGGCAATCCTTCTATCCCCTGTTCACCCTCTCCAATCTACTTCTGGCAATCCTCCTCTCTGTTTCGGCTTTCTTCCTCCATGATTGGTCCATCCGACGTCGCATGCCCCCTGGGCCGATGCCCAATCCCCTCTGGGGTAACACAGCCGAGATCGTCAAGCCCAAACCATGGATCAAATTTGCCAACTGGGGGAAGCAGTATGGACCGATCATGACCGTATGGATCGGGCGCCGTCCAACGATTGTTATCAATGACCCGGCCATCGCGGTGGAGTTGATGGAGAAGCGGAGCAACATCTACTCGAGCAGACCGAGGATGGTCATCATGGGCGAGTTGGGCACGAACAACGATGGGTACGCCATGTAGCCCTGCTTCTTCTGAGCGTAACGTCTGATAAGAGTGCAGTATCTTGACGATGCCGTATGGCGACAAATGGCGAAAGCACCGGCGGTTGTTGCATATGGGTCTCATGACCAAGGCTCTGCAGAACTACAAGCCCATCCAGGAACTCGAGAGCAAACGCATGGTCGCGGATATGATTCGCAGGCCGGACAAGTACGAGAAGCATCTTGATCGGTATTCTACCGGCGTGGTATGTAGGCTCATATCTTGCGCGTAGTACAGGATGTTGACTCGGTGCAGGTCGTGCTGGTGGACTATGCCAAGAGGGTGGATACTTCGGAAGATCCACTCGTCAAGAATGTCCTCACTGCTATGCAACACGCAGCGATGCTCAACGTGTCAGTGTATTTCCTGCTCAAGAAGATGGATATGCTTACTGTAGCTCATGCAGGCCTGGCAAATTCCTTGCCGAGACCTTCCCGATTCTCGCCAGCGTGCCTGCCTTCCTTGCACCTTGGAAACGCCAGATCCTTGAGCGCCGTGTTCAAGGTCGCGCTTTCTTTGGGGGCCTGGCTGACAGTGTCAAATCTAAGATGGATAAAGGCGAGGCTCCGGAATGTTTTACCAAGCACCTGTGGGAGAAGCGCTCCGAGTTCCCCATGACGGACATGGAGTTCTCCTTCCTCTCCTCGGCCCTGTTCGGTGCAGGAAGCGATACGACCGCGAGCACCCTGTGCAGCTTCGTCCTAGCTTGCACTGCGTTCGGTCACGAATGGATTCCCAAGGCGCAGGAAGAACTCGACAGTGTTGTCGGCAGGGATCGGACTCCGAACTTCGAGGACCAGAAGAATCTGCCGTACATCGACGCAGTCGTGAAAGAGACACTGCGGTGGAGGCCGGTCGCCGTCTTGGGTGGGACACCCCATGCCAACACGCAAGACGATTACTACGAGGGCTACCTCATTCCAAAGGGCTCCACGTACGCGTTATGCGCTTGATCTTTCTTGTAGACGTGCTGATAGCCATATCACAGTATTCTCGGTAACCTCTGGGGCATTCACCTGAACGAGAAGTACTTCCCGGATCCGCACCACTTCAATCCTGACCGGTATCTCGATCCTGAGCGTCCCGACTACCCTCATCCGGCCGGACACTCTGCGTTTGGTTGGGGCCGACGCGTTTGTCCAGGCGAAGGCCTTGCCCTCAACTCCCTTTTCATGACGATCGCGCGGCTTCTCTGGGGCTTTAATTTCGCCAAGGCCAAGGACGCTCAGGGCAAGGATATCGAGGTCGATATTTTCGACTATACAGATGGCTTCAATACTCGCCCCAGGCCATTCCAGTGCTCCATCACGCCAAGGGGTCCGGAGTTTGTCGAGATCATGCAGCGCGAAGCAGAGGAAGCAGATAGGGAGCTCCGAGAGAAGTACATCAACGATGACGAGATGTGAAGGATATACTCGGCATGAGTCGGGAGGGACGAGGCCACAGAGGGACGATGGATGAGGTTGCGATCGATGAGACAGTTGTAGTTAAGCTTTTTCGAGTCAGATCCTGTCTCAGCTTGCTCAGAGTCATTACATTAGTAGATGTTGAAATGTATTATTCCTCGTCTGATTCCGCGCCGCGGTTCTCGTGTCGTGTGATGAAGTCCTCAAATCTGGACAGTCACCGCCAGCCTCCAAAGGCATCTCTTTTGACCTGTGCCCTCACCGAAGGACGCATTAATTGTCTCTGAAACAGACCTTTCCTTGAGCTCATACGGAGAATGTCGTCACCGTCAGGGGTGAGTCTTGGCTTGAAGTCTCTGACTGTTATCGAATTGTTATTATAGACAGGCTATGGTCATCCGCAGTTTTTGATGGGCACTGGGTACGGTAGTGGGGCGGGAGGCGGTCATGTGGAATTTGGAAGGTCACAGCTCAGGTCCGTCCCCTTACTATCTATCCAGCCTCTATACTTCGTTAACACTTAAACAAAACGTACAGGACCACCAGACACAATGGCCTATGCGCCACATCCCACACAGCTGCTCCCCAGGCCCGAACTCGCCACTGGCCCACACATTCTGACTACAATCCAACCTCCCCTATCGAGCGTTCCGCTTCAATACGACATGGCCACCGGGCCGTTCAACCAGCAGCAAGCGGGGATCAAACCTATAGAAAGCATACAGGTACAGCCTCTCACCATGCACGATAATCCTCTCAACTTTGACAATTATGGTCGCCAACATCCTTCCATACGCAACACTTCCCTGATCTCTACTTCCGAAATCTCTCACATGCACGGCCCATCGCGCTTTTCGGCTACTACTGCTCCATTGGTACCTCCATCTCAAGTGGAAACAGCTTTTGGCCACTCACCCTCCTCCTGGGATGTCCTAACGACCATCGGAGTGCCAATCCCTCCCAACATTATCAACCGCAGTGAGTTCGCAGCTAGTGATGACACTCATGATACTCACACACGCAATATTTCCATTTCCAGCTTCATATCCGTCCTTGGATCCTTCACGTTCTGGCAACAACGCAGTATTCGCTGCAGCGCCATCTGAAAACTTTTCCACGCCACACTTCAACCCCACCAATGGTTATATCTACTCTTCACCTCTGGTCAACTATGACGAAGAGCCAACCGCATCCACAGCCTCCTCTCAGATCATACACCCCCCCCCCTTCAACATTTGAACAGCATCTACGATACGAACAAAATCATGCAGCCGTGGCGCCCTTCTCTCCTCCTCGTGCCCTGCCTGTACTATCGCCAGTCTCGAACGCACACGATGATAATACTTTTGTGGTTTCCCCCCTCGCAGATCCACACCTGAGCGGTACCCACAGCACTAGCGTTTCGTATACGGAGCACCCGCCGAGCGACTCTTCAACGCCGATGACGACGATATCCAATATCAGCATCGATCACAATGAACCCCTGCAGAATAACATCGAGGAGGATGTTCCCGTCAGCCCAAGGTCTACCAGTGCAACATCGCGTATTCCCACCATATGTACAGTTATGGCCCAGCGGGTGCATGGATAATCTACCAACACCTGAGGGTCATCGCCGCCCGACACCCGCCTGCGGTCACAGGCGACATCTCACGTTTCTTATATCTTGCCATCATACCTGAAGTGGTTGTGCGGCTTATCATGCGGAAGTTCCCGTTGATCTCCAGGGAAGACGCTAAGCAAACCCTTCTAAAGAGCAGGGCATATGGTATCAAGCATTGGCCCATTTTGGATGAATGAGGTGAGGTGTGTGTATGTCGAGAGCGCTGCGTGGGAGGCGAATGTGATGAGAAGAAAATATTGTCGCATATTATCATCCAATATGCTCCCGTACATTCTTTCAGTTGTACATAGACAGTCGACAACGCCCGTGTACCACGTTGGGGAGTCATAATGTCACATAGTTCTCCCAACTGTTCACGTGACAAGAGATTCGGCTTCCTTCGCACTGCGAGTCCACACAAACCACCTCCGTATTTCCGGCGGAGAGACGGAGAATGGGGGACACAACGACTCAGGCAACGTGTTTTGTGGCGAGGGCGGTGCCGCCTGTCGCAAACTAGACTTTTACCCCGTTGACTCACTCACATCCATCACTCAGATACCCTCCTCCTGCGCCGTCCGACTCATCCTCTACTACCCACGACTACTTCGACGACCATTTCAAATACATCCACGATCCCATCGACAATGGACAAATTTCTTCGTGCAAATGGACCAACGACCGTGCACTTAGACTGGCTGCGCAACTACGAAAGTACGCGTGTTCCGATATCTCCACGCGTTTCCTATACTAACCGGATGACGTGAAGGGATCGGCATGGGCCGTCTTTCTAACGGTAATGCAGAGAGCGAGACCCCTGCCAGCCAGTATGACGATGGACTTCCTTTCTGGAATGCGAAGGATGATGCTACTGCGGGTTGGTCCGCGACTGAAGCCGGAAGGACGCGTCGCTGGACTGCGAAGGAGAAAGGAAAAGGCCGCGCTGTCGATACCAGCACTGTAAAAGTCGAAGCAAGCACGGAGGACGAGGAAGATGCTTACCTCTGGACTTCGGCCTCTACCACCCATGAGGAATTGGCCGCCTTCGAGGAGATGGAAGATGCGGATCTGCGGACTCGAATCCTCGCCGGTGCTGTTTTCACTTCTAAGGATAAGGGATGGATGGACGTCGTCGCTGAACATCGTAAGCCTACGAGGGACGAGAAGAGTGTCTTCCAGGGCCCGATCGCAAGGGGTGGGATCAAACTGGTGCGAACCGCGGAGGGTAGTGTCTACGCTGTGAACCACCTCGAAGTACCAGAGGAGATGCCCTACCCTGGACCGAAGGCATACCTCGATGAAAGAAACTGGATCACCCGTTACGACGAGGCGTACATCCATGCCGGCCTTGGCTGGAAAAAGAACGTCAAGCGCCTGAAGTATGTGCTGAACAATCCTCACACCGGTCTCCTCTGGGCCAAGATGAAGGGGAAATTTAAGGCTAAGGACAGCCCTCAGGTCAAGGCCAAGCTGCAGAACGCTGGATAGTGAGTACCATGTATGCGCCTTTGTTGCCGCTCACCTGACCCGCGTCTCGTAGTTTTGGGCCGCCGGGCGCTAAAAAGATAGCAGAGATCCTCTATTGCCTGCCCTCCGACTCCCGGGGACTGGACTTTTATAACCCCTTCACAAGGAAAGAGTTCATAGACCTCATCCTAGTACCGGAGGCTGCGGTGCTCCTCATGCGCCGGAGGTTCCAGATTGAGAATAAGGAGGCGCTGGACTTGCTGGAGAAGAGCAAGGATCTTACAAGGAAATCCTCGGGGATGAGAAGATAGTTAACGAGGGAGGAGATAGTTCACGAATAAAGGGATTGATATTTTCATCTGAAAGACGATATTAGATAGTTGAGAAGGGTATTCAAAGATATCATTGAATGAATCGTGTGATCGAGACAGAAAGGGACGATCCCTTATGCTTGGCGCTCGGATATATTCCGCGGTATTCCGCACTGAGCCACGTTCGATTGGTCCGCATGGTGCAGCGCCACTCAGCACTGTCAGCACCGCGGGGACGACACCGCCAGCGCCTGATCATCCCCCCGTCTGCCTAGAAAGGTTTCGAAAGGTGTCGCCCTGACCGTGGGGAGCATATTGCACATCTTGAACACGTACTCTGCTGTGGTGAAGACTTGCTTTGCTGGTCAATTATTGCTGGAAGGGGAACGACAAGGTGGAGACGTACGAAACGACACGACACGAACTACTTTTTTGGGTAACGACGACGATACACGCCACCTCTGACCTCTCCCACCACCACCATCACCTCGAATGGCCGGTTCACACGTCCGCGTCCCCCCCGGGACCACGGTCGTTCCCCACCCATACGTAGAAGCGATCAATAAAGTACCCGATTACTTCCTCGGTATGGGTGCAGGGTCGGAGGGGGAGCTACGCGCCCTCGGGCAGGCGTTCATGATGATTATCGTCAGCGAGATTGGGGATAAGACGTTTCTCATGTACGTTCCCTTCACTGTGGTGACGTTGGTGCTGATATATGCGCGTAGTGCGGCGATACTCGCTATGCGCCACCCGCGCTGGACGGTCTTTTTAGGCGCATTCGGTTCACTTGTAGTGATGTCGCTCCTCTCTGCAGAACTGGGTCATCTCCTCCCAGCATTGTTCATCCCCCACCGATGGACCCATGCTCTCGCTGCGCTTCTCTTTCTCGTCTTTGGCGCTAGGATGGCGAAGGAAGGGTGGGAGATGCCCTCCGGTGCAGGGAAGATAAAGGAAGAGATGGGCGAGGTAGAGCTCGAGCTGGCAAAATCCGGGGATGGGGCTGACGTGCTCCCCTATTCTGCTACTCATCCCGGAGCGGAAGAGGAAGCAGTAGGAGGAGGGGGCATGGATACCCAGGGAACGGGGTTCAAGGAGGGAGCGGCGAACCTCGCTCGGCTGGTGTTTGGCCCTGTGTTCGTACAGAGCTTTGTGCTCACGTTCCTTGCGGAATGGGGGGACAGGAGCCAGATTGCGACTGTCGCACTCGGAGCGGCGCACGTGAGTCTTCTCTGCCTATGAGTGTCGTGGAGAAGCTGACGAAGAGGTTGGCGCAGAACGTGTACATCGTCACCTTGGGTACTGTGATCGGACACTCGGCATGTACTGCACTCGCAGTCCTAGGCGGTCGGTACCTAAGCACAAAAATATCCGTAAAGCACAGTACGTCTTCCTTTCTACGTGCTTAGACCAACTCCTTATGCATTACAGTCACCCTAGGAGGAGCGGCGCTGTTCGGTATCTTCGGCATTATGTACGCGTACGAAGCGTGGGTTGGAGCACCGCTCATCATCCCCGATCTGCCTGGATCTGTACCGGGCGTGGGAGACGCGGCGGAGGCGTTGCCGGGTGTTGTTCGCTGAGCATGCTGAGCTTTGGGGAGGTGAAGCGGTTTTCAGCTTTTTTATACTAGAGTATTGCTAGCCAGATGTGCTAGGTTGTGTGATAGGGAAGGGGGAGTCTTGCATAGAGTGCATTGGTACATGGACAGCGAGTAATGATGACAATGTGTAAATCACTGATGTAACCGTTTCATACATATATCATGACATTCCCAAATGTCTACAAATAAGGGAACGAGTTGGGGTCGGTGACCATCACTGACGGAAGCGACGTCATTCCTTCGCTGGTCTATGATTAGTACCAATGTAACACAACACAATCAGCATTCATCCAGAGAGACTTCAATCCAATCCTTCAATCTGCTCTAATCAACTTCACTTTGCACTCTAATCATCAAGCCACTAATCACGTGTAACCAGGCACCGCCCACCGGGCATTCAGGGGCGAGATCATCTCCGAGAGAACCCTGAGAACCGAATAAATCTTGGCGCAGGAGAAGAGCACGAGGACGTGTTTAGACTACGAAGCAAGACTGGGTGTCTTGTGGATTGGACTAGCGCGTCTCTGGTTAGGACGACCACTTGACTGGTCTTGATTCGACTCGATTTCCACTTGACTTTGTATATCTGTGCTATCTGTTACTTGGTTGTTGCGACTGCACGATTGGTTGTTCCCGGTTGCTCTTAACCGCTCCTATCGGTCCCTTGCTATTTCTCTATAAAACAAACTGACCGCCAAAGCCAACTGACCGCCATGCCACCCCGGATTCACTCCTTCTCCGACCTCCGCGAGTCTCTTCTCCCTCAACCAGCCTCCTTCCAGAAAAAGAAAAGTTACCACATCCATTCCCTCCTCGGCCGGGGCACGTTCGGCAAGGTCCTGCGCGCGACTTGGGTCGCCCATGACCCGCACCTGGATGTCGCTCTCAAGGTTATCAATAAAAAGAAAGTGAAGGGGAATGAGGAGCTTGTATTTCAGGAGATGAAGGTGCTTGAGGGGCTGGTCCATCCGAATATCGTCAGTCCTTGTTTTCCTTTGCTCGGAAGCCCCCTTCACAACCGAAGCTGACGACCTTACGCGCAGGTCAAATTCTACGAATGGTTCGAATCGCGCGAAAAATACTACCTTTCCTTCGAGCTCGCCCAGGGTGGAGAACTCTTCGAGCGCATTGTACAGAGAGGCAAATTCACGGAGGATGACGCTGTGAAGCTTATCTCGTGTGTCTTTTCGCATAGGTGGAGATGAAGGTCATTAATGAATATGGCAGGACGATTTGTGACGCTGTGCGTTATTTACACGCGCACGACATTGTACATCGTGATCTCAAGTGCGTATCTCACTCCCCATCCCGCTGGGGCCCACAAGTGACCTCCGTTTCGTATTGTAACAGACCGGAAAACATCCTCTACCGTACAGACGCCCCGGATTCGGACATCGTCATCGTAGATTTCGGGATGTTCGTCCCCTATCTCCCCTATCTCTGCAGAACGTTACTAATGCGGTAGGTAGTGCCACACACCTCGAGACCCCAACAACCGAGCTGCACACCTTGGCCGGTTCGTATGGGTACGTCGCGCCCGAGGTCCTGACCGACAAAGGTCACGGCAAGCCCGTCGACGTCTGGAGCATTGGGTGTGTCCCCTCCTCCTGCTACCCTTTCCTGGTGGGATCCAGAAGCTGAATAACCGAGTATAGGGTAATCACATATGTCTTGCTTTGTGGGTATGCCCCGTTCCAGAACCCGGATGAAGAGGAGATGATCGAAAAGACTGTCCATGCGGATGTGCGGTTCCATGAGCAATATTGGAAGAATGTTTCCCAAGAGGGTGCGTACCTCCGTCACACCCTAGATCCAAGCTTACCCCCGTCCAGCAAAGGACTTCATCATCGCCCTCCTAACTGTTGACCCCCACAAGCGACCAACAATCGAGCAAGTGCTCCAGCTGGCCTGGATAAGGCACCACATTCCCGGTTCTCAGGACCACGATCTCGCCGGCCTACGGGAATTCAACGCGAAGCAGAAATGGAAGCAAGCGTTCAACGCGGTCAAAGCCCAGCACCGACTTGCCTCATTTTCCAAAGAGAGCCAGCGCCACCTCTTGTCCACGTATACGGGTAGCAGCGGGGGCTGGGCGAGCAGTTCCACAAGCTTGGCGAACAGTTATGTTGATAGTGATGATGAAGGCTCCGGTACACATACGCCGGGCGAGACGGCGCACGCGAGGATGAACCTCTCCAAGCTCCGGGAGGCACATGTGAACAACCCGAACGCGGCGCCTGTCCTTGGACCGGGCGAACAGGTGGGCGGGCCTGCCCTGCCTAGGCTCTCGGTGACACATCACGATGCTCCTCAGCCTGCTGCGCCCACCAACGGTCATTCACACTCTCATATGCACGAGAAGAACGACGAGGGAGCCACAACGCCCATCGCCCATTCCGGTCCTTCCCGTCACCTCTCCCGCCCCGTTATCGACCCTGGCCATCCAACAGCTGATGAAGCCGATATCCCCGAAGACGATGAAGAGGAAGAAGATGACGGGATGGCCAACATGCCCGGGAGCTTTCATCGGCCTGCTGTCAGCAGAGGTCCAAGTGGGGACGAAGGGATCTTGAGTCGGGCGATGGAGGCACTCCTTGGGAGGCACTAGTGCGGCATTTGGCGAGGGTGAGGGAGGAAGAGCTGTGCTCGGTTTCGTGATCGAAAGCAATGATGATTTCACCGGAAAGCTTGAGGCGAGAAGAGTGAGGGTTTGTATTGCCGATTGTTTGTACAGTATCGTCACAGATAGAATATTCCCCCTATGTATTTCGGGCTTCTGAGCCCCACGCTGGTTGTGTTTTGCGCTACTGGGTTTTCTGAAAGACGGTGACTGCTGGGCGGGGCCAGGTCCCATTTTGTCCTAGTTCTTGCTGGTTGTCCACGCCTGTCGGCCATCGTCCCTGATAGGTATTGAGGGGAAAGAAAGGAGAATGCACAGGGTCGTTCTGAAATCTTATACGTGTCAACTTCTGAATACCAGTTCCGAATGCTTACCGAGTTGCGGGCATCGGCCCGAGTTCCATTCAGCGTACTGTGAGCATGACCATGTCGTTTCAGGATCTTGGCACTCTTTTCCGCCTACCGATAACATTAAACCTATCCCACAGAGGATGCTCACCGTTCAGAACTGAGCATCAGATTATGTGAGACCTCAGAGTCGGACACGTCAAGACCAAGTCAACCTCCCTGGCCGAGTCAACCCTTGTCGGATGCTGTACGATACGCTCTACTATTCCCCAGAGTTCTTTTCTTCCTTGTGACAGTAATGATGGTAGTGCTGGAATGAATCAGGCTCAACATAATACATTGAATCCGCCCAAGAAAACAAGACAATGGCCAGAAGGATTATCTGAAACTGGCCAAGGCGCCAAGCGGGCCCTTGCACCGTTAAGACGCTTGTTCTTGTTCTTCGCCCTGCTGTTGAGAAGAGCGAAAGTGAGTGACACATCCCCCTAGGTTGCGCTTCATGTCTGACGGGTATGAAAAGAAATAGGTACAACCAACTGGAACGGGTATCGAGAGGTTACCAGGAGGAGTCACTAACCAATTAAAAAGGGAGTGACTGACGTCAATATCGGTAAAGTGTGCCAAACGCAGGCCATTGCTATCCTCGGCAAGGAAGACGGCGCACTGCAAGTCAAACCGCCGAATTCGTTTAATCAATTGTTCCAGAGCGAAAATTATCTACGCGGTTGGACCGAAGCCGGAAGTAGCAGAATCGGGAGCAGGCTCTGGCTTTCGGATCCTGTCCCAATCGAGAGACAGAGGCTTCAACAGACGGACGCCAGACCCTTGACAAGACCACTCTAAATTTTTGACTAGCGCGTCCCAGAGAAACCAGGTCCTGTTAATCATACACAGATTCGGCAATGGCGAGGCAAACATCGAATGGAAACCGCTGCGACACGATCGTGAGTGGAGAGAAGAGAGGACATCTGGCGACGGTGTTGGAGAGAGGCGGAACATGGATCCCAAATTCGGTAGAGAAGCTAAACGCGCTACGGCTGTGATTCCAGATGTTTCTTGTGTTATAGTAAACGGTCCGGGGAGAAATGGCAGCGTCGGCGTGTAGTCATATTCCCACTTCTCCCCAACTAGGGTCGCCCGAAGTATTACGACGTTGGAGAATGAAAACAGGATTCCAAACACGGCGCTTCGTTGTTCGATTTATCGACCTCGCTAAGACTCGCGCAAGCCGCCTGATAAACAGAAAGAGGGTGTGTAAGATCAGTGTTTAGCCACAGAAAGGTATCCAGCCGTAGCCATATTAGGGAAAGGGGGGGGGGGTACAACGTGTTTCTGGCAACAGCGCATGGAGAAGTCGCCGGCGAACGCAGGTCCGAGCAGACTCTTGGTTGCGGCCTGTTGAAGTCGCAAGGGTATATCCTTTCGATGGAAACAAGTAGTCAGGCGAGGAACATTGAGAGCGGCGACCGAGGTACACAGGAAAATGCCGACCAGGATTTGTACAAATACGTCTCGACCTTGTTCGCGGGGTGTGAGGGCTTCCGATTTCCAACATATCACTGAGTGCGGAATATATTCTTGGGAGGCATGCAACGTAAGTTAAACATAGGGCAATGATTCACGTGGAATATGAAGTGGTCGAAATTGAACTCGTAGACCGACTTCCTTATACTCGGGTTGACATGCGGTGGTTCCTTCTTGCGATACCATGTACGACCCTGGGCGTCTACGAAGTATAAGTTGTCGTAATCATCTAACAATATCAGTGAGAATTAAGCCCAGGTCGAATGACATTACATACCGGGGACGCCGCTCTTCGCTTCCCCAGCCCATATCCTACGTGTTTGCACTCTTGAACTCATTCGTCGAAGCGGTCCGGGTCTGAAGGAATCATGTCAAGAGGTTCGAGCGGAAGAGACACGTTGGAGCTGTCTCCCCCATCATTGTGCTCAATGTAAAAATTGTTGTCGATGCGGAATATCAACATGAGGAGAACTAGAAGCGCTGCAGTACGTGGGCCAGACAGCTGCAGAGGTGACCCGCTCTGAACCAATGTTTCTCTGCGACTGCTTGTGAACCACTAAAACACCTTGTTGTCGCCGCACAGTAACAGTCGTTCTCTGCATCACAGCAGCTTATGTCCCTATCCATCGTATGCACTTCCTTCCGACACCGTGAGTCATCACTTTTTGGTCGCCTGAGGATCTGCTCGTCAATTTCTCATATTTTTTTCACATGGTCGTCATACTATATGCAACAGCATGTGTATCACCGGCACTTGGTCCCGCAGTTCTCCGTACTCTCTGACCGATCATCGCTTCTTGAACCCCTTCGGATGCGGTCTCCTATCAGGAAACATCTTCGCTTTCATCTTTGGATCATAGAAGACGAACTGATGAACAGGAAATGTGAACCGCCGCTTGCCATCATCGTACGTCCTGTCGTCTTCCTCGGACATATCAGGAAGCAGTACCCCTTCCGCTCCTGAGCCCTCGGACTGTCGGGTGCGAGCTTGCCAACCAGCAGCCAGATCTGTGTCTAGCACCCTCGGCTGACGCTGCAGGAAACCCTCGACTTCCTTGCCTTTCGCTCCACCAACATCGAGTCTATGGCTCTGCTGCTGAGTGAGCTCGCGCCTCGCTGCTCCTGCAGCTGGGGCGGTGTGCGTGGGCGCCAAGAAGGGAGAATTGGACATAGGAGGGTACCGGGGCTCGTCGGGGTCAAAGCCAACTGCCCATGGGTTTGGAGGGTTTTCTCGACCATCTGGGGTGAGAGCGCGCTCCCAGAGCTGTGGATCGCGCATACGAGCTTTGTTCCATCCTAGCGCAAGGTCCACGAAGCCTTGGCCCTGAAGCGGGAGAAAGCCGAGAGAACGAAAGAGGGAGAGAGAGGGATGAGTGGGGGTAACAGTGGCGGTGAGTGGGAGTGCGTGAGGCGGGAGGTGGGAAAGGAGAGAGGCGGAGGGGTGGAGGTAGCGCGATGGTTGGGGATGGAAATCAGGGTGATCTGCACCTTCGGGAGAGGTGGGGGTGCTGGTGTCTGAAGGAGATTCCGCCCGGGCAGAGGTGTATGCGCCTTCAGGCTTGAACACCGTATACCTCAGACTTTTGTAGATGAGCCTCGCAGTCTGCTTTATTAGAGCCTTGACGATTTCTTCCACAGGCTGCTTGAACTGCGCCCGCGGCATGGCAAGGTGGGGGGTCATGATTGACACTGATCGCAAGTTCCCATTTACGAAAAAAGGTGAATCGGAGAAAGCGTCAGTCTCATTTCGGGAGAGAGGGTGCGAACGCACAGTCGTTCCGCACCGTCACCCAAGCCGCAGGTTCGCCAGTGGTGGGGTCGTGGTACACTGAGCTCCAAGGAAGTCCTTTAGAAAGGTAGACGACGGAGTACCGCCCTCCGAGCGCTTGGGAAACCTGTCGTACTGTGAGCTTCTCACAGAAGCGACGGCGGCAATGTGCGATCGTACCCTTTCCATCTCGTCCATCTCCATTCCCTCTACCATGCAACTCCCATCTTCTGTATCTTGTCCTTCCAGCCACTCCGCGCTCTCTGGTAGATAAAGGCGCACACTGTTCCGCATCCCCTTTATGACAGGGTTCCAGTACAATTTGAACTCCGCGTTCCTTCGCGAGCTGAACGTCTCGAGGTACTTGATATATGGATGGAGGTGCGCGGGTAGGTCGGTGAGGGAGCGGTTGCGCGGTGTTTCTGATATTTGTGTCGTAAATGTCACCTCACGGGGCTTACGACATAGCAAGATATATGCACGCACCTTCTGCGCCTGTATCGTCTGCACTTCCCGCAATCCTGTCCCGGACCGCGATATCCCTCATCATAGCATATATCCACCTCTGAACTCTCCCCTTCCCTTCCCTCAGCTCTCGCAACTCCGCTTCGTCCTCCCAACCAGGTTGGACCGCGTCCCCACGTTCGCTTCCAGGTACACCATCCCAGGCAACCATCCTCCCCAGATCGTTCCACAACTCCTTTCTTTCTCCTTCTCCTTTTCCTCCACCCGAACGTAATCTCTCGTCCGTCGCTAACTTCCACTCCAAGCTCGTCCACACCCGCAGCCCATGTTCTTCTGCCGCATCTGATAGCAGCCCGTCGGCGTCGAGCACCCCGATTGCCCAATCTTCGTGTGAGAACTTCGGTGAAGGGGCCAATTTTCTCCCTGGAAAAGCCCCCAGGAGAGACACATATCTTTTCGAGTACGGAGCTGCTGGGGCTGCATCCGTTATGCTTGCCAGTTCTGCCCAACGCGCCCATCTGCCTCGGCTCCAAGTCAGGTTTCCGGGTGCTGTTCGCGGTGTACCAAAGTATGGTCCGTGCTTCACGTCGTGTAGGTTTTGCCAGGCAAGGGGTGCGATGAGTGCGCCTAGGATGGGGGTCGAGTATGGGAAGTTGGGCAACGCGGAGAGGATGCGGATGAGGGATGGGGTGTGTGTGGCCTTGAGGGAGGTGGGGGCGGGGGTGTGGGGGATGCGCTGGAGCATTATCGTTCGAGGGCATGCTTCTCCGTTTGGTGTATCTATTGGTGCATCACAGCGGTGTACTTGAGGAGGAGGAGAGGTAGATGTATGCGCCTATAACACCTAAAAACTAGAGCAGCCAAATTCGCTCGCTCTTCCCTTTTGGGCGGGCCACCCGCAAAAGAAGAACCTTTGTCTGTGGCTGTGTTCCGCAGATTTAACAACTCCGCATTCCGCACCACAGCCACTCGGTCCCGGTGTTTGGGTGCCTCCGCGATGCCCTTCTTCTCCGCCTTTCACTCTTCTTCACGTGTGTGCCGGATGCCGAGGGCGCAGTGTTGAGCGCCCTTAGAACGCCCAGGCAGCCTTTTCCCGCTTGACCCGGGAACGACGCAACGAGGCTCGTGCTGGCTTGCTCTCGAACCACGATATACTGCTCCTCACACCTCTCAAGTCGACTTATTAATGACCTCTAGGGGCTGTCGACGTGGCTTTCCGCTCTCTCGGGACACTTGCACTATCTGCTGCCTGGGGGTTAGGGGCGTGTACCAAGTGCTGGCACACGATCTCCTCCTGGCTGGTACTTAACGTTTTGCGCTGCTTGATTGACGTGTACAACTTTTGGTATCCTGTTGACGAACCCTTCTGCTTTCGTGCCTCTGGATCACCCTGTGTGTACCTGCTTCACATCTGACGCTCTACCACACGCAATACACACATTCCTCTCATCCAACAACTATCTCACATTACATCATTACACCCAGGGTCGAAATTTACCATAGGCAATCTGTACAACTGTCAACAACACCAACCATCAATGTCCAACACATCCCTTCCAATACCTAGCGCCCCGGGTGCTCGACCCCAGCTGGCCGTTCTCCAAACGAAAGGTTCGGCGCATCCTTCACCCACACCCACACCAACCATCCCTCAACCTCTCGTCCCGACTTCGGCTCTCTCCTCCCCTCCCACAATCCCCTCCGATCCCTCTGCTCCGTCTCTCCTATCAGCCGGCGGCTCCGCTCCCTCCCTGACGCCCTCCCAGGTAGCGGCCCTGCTAGACCGATCGAATCCTCTTGTCCGTCCGGGAACCCCACTCGGATTCCCTCTCCCTCAACGCGGTCCTCCCACCCCTTCCCATGCACGGAAGACCCGGCTCACTCTCTCCACCTCCTCCGGCATGCAGAGTGAGGAGCACGAAGAAGCAGAATACGTGGACGAGCTTTCCCTCTCCGAGTTCCTCCAGCTCGCCAAGAACCTAGGGGATGACAGCATCGTCACACGCCTCACGTCCGACGACAGCCGACACCCCGTCATATTCCTACACTTCACACATCAGGGGTCGCCTTACTACGCACGCATCCGTAGACCGTACTCTTTGTGCACCACGTTTGTTCGTTCGCTCCTAAGTCTCGATACTCCCGCTGCCGTTCTGGTGAGCAACACCGACCTCGAAGAGCGAAAACGGAAGAAAGTCAAGCTGCTTATATATCCTTGGCGAGCGCACTACCCAACGCTAGACCCATCGAACCCGCTGCAGCTACCACTTCTCGCTCTCACGGAAGAAGGTGGCCGCCTCGCACGACTGCTGAACGCGCTCGGCAACGGCCAGACGTACGGATTTAAGCCTCCTCTCCGTCTGCGAGACGTTGCCCAACTCGCGGTCGCAGCACAACATCTCACTCCACGCGTCTTCCCAGAATCCTTCAAGCACAGGTTCTTCGCCTGGCATGTGCTTTTCTCTGCACTCGGCCATTTCGGCCATGAGCTATTTGTTACCTACCGGCGGAGCATACACCCAGACTTCGTCCTCGGCCTACGATGGGACTTGAAACAATACGGCCCGTTTGCGAGCGTCTCTGTTGCACTGCTCGTGATGTTTTGTACTCTGCTTGCCTACCTTCCCATCTTCATTCTCCTCGGTTTTCTGTTCCAATCACGTTCCTGGTCAGGAGGCGGCGTGCTCTACCTCCTGCTGGCTCTACCGGCAGGCGTACTCTCCCCCCTTCCGGACTACCTCCTCCGCGCTTGGTCGGCCCGGGTCGAGAACTCAAATAAGCGTTTCCGAGCCTCCCTCACCGCTGAGATAAGACGGGTATATGGGGGGTATGCAGAAGTTCGCAGCACACAGCAGTGGAGCATGTCGGGCCCAGTGGGAAATATTAACATGCACTCGCCTCTCTTCCCCTACCTGGCAGTAGAAGATGATCCCTCTCTACCTGACGAGGCGAGCATACCGCCGATGGAGCTAAAGCAGTTCCTCCACGAGCTTAAACTGCGTGCGGGTCTCTCCTCCTGCCCTGTCACAGCCGTCCAGGTGCGCCAAGGACGTGGGAGCCCTTTCCTGCGCAGCTACCTCCTTTTCTTCATCAACTTCCGCGGGCAAGATATGGCCATCCGGGTAGATCCAGCCGCGAAGAAGCTCACCTGGTGGCACCCGTACGAGCACTCCGTCTTCCCTTCTTCCGTGCGCATCACCAGTGTAGCGGCGGACGACGCGGCAGAGATCATCGAGGATGGCGGTGGGAGCTCGGAAGGGAGTCACATCCTATTCACCTTGAACAGCTGGAAGACAGCGTTCATAGACATAGACCCGAAACAACCGGAGCAGCTCATCTCCCTCGCATCTCAGAGTCGTGCTGCGCACCGAAGGCTCACCAGCCTGACGGACGTCCCGAGTCGACTCGCTGACCATCCCACACCAACGTTGTTCGATGCGATACGGGCCGTCCAAGCGGCGCACGACGAGTTTCATCCTGCGTACTCAGCCGCGCTCTTCACCCTCCGTGCCTCGCTCGCTGTCCTTCGCGCGTTCTCCTTCGCATACAGCAACGAGTACCTTCCCAGTGTTGGTGATAGCAAGAGACCTGTTCATCCCGTGTTGTTCAACCTGGACGACCAGCTATTGCAACATCATCGAGCAATGATCCGACATTTGAACATGCTCATCACCGTCCTCTTTTATGCTATGTTAATCGGCCTCGCATTCATAACACCCGACAGCTACGAGAGATTCATGGTTGCCAATACCACGATAATATTTGCAGTGATGGTATGCTGGTTCGTGTGGAATAGGGTGTTTTGGCCGGCATGGTTGGGCAGCACAGAATCGGGCATTGATACCATGGCGCAGTGGCTTGTGGCCAAGATACTCCCCAAGGCAGTACCTCTTCCGCGCGGGTCATACTCTACTATGGATGGGTACGTCATGTGCAATTACATATCATTAAAGACAATTAATTTACATCACATCTACCAGCGATAAACCCTCCAAACCGATGAATTGGGACATCCCACCTGCTGGGGTGGAGTCGGGACTGGAGGCAGCTAAAGCCGACTGGGCGCAAAGAGTCAGCTCGCGAATGGCCTCCTCCGGCATGGCACCGTCTAGTCGATTCCCATCATCCACGGGGGTCCCACGGTCTAGAGACGTGTCGTTAGAGAGCAGAAGGGTAGAGGGCTCCCTGCAGAGTGTGCCTCAAACGAGAGAGACGTCGACCGAAAGGCGGTAAGCTGGTTTCTTAATTAATCTCACGGACTGGGTTGTTAGAAAACACGCGCACTGTTAAACACAATTGCAATACTCCTCGTATACTTCAATTTTTGGGATATGTAAAACTTCAATCTGTAATACGAGGCAATCGAAGCTGGGCATTGTGAAGTACTGTAGGCTCACAGCGAAGCCGGGAAAACATACCACCGATACAAGATTAGCCTTCTTGAACGAACAGGCACAATAACGTCTATCAGGATGATGAGACCAAAAGATAGTTGCATCTACATGATTGGACCGCGGTCATGACGGAATGTGGGGGTTCAGCCGGTTCCGATGACTTCGTTTATCGCCGACGCGCGTGAACCATAATCAACTCCAACCTCGGGCGCTCGTTACACGCAGCTCCTCCTCTTTCCGACCCTTTGGTGACACCGCTAGACCACTCTGCACCAGCATCGTGTCACTCCGGCAACAGTCTTCCCTCAAACCAGTCATCAAGCGTTGAAAACGGATAAGGATGAGCTGACATGCAAGACTGGTGTGGGGTGGAATCTCGCAGATTTTGCCAGCTCAGTGAATCCATTCTTCGTATTCTGGAAGAAACGAGCCTATTGCTTAGGATGGCATCAGACTCTCACCATACGAATGCGAGTATTTCTCGGGACATGGGTGAATCATCTGTTGGGTTGTTCGGCCTTCTGACCGCCCGCATTCACTCGTCCTCCTTCGCTCTGTTTTTCCGGGCTCGTTAGACTCCGTTCCTGCTTCGTCAGCGTCCTGTCTTGACTGATAACTCCGGATGGTGAACGCGTGGAACTGAGTCTGGATGATACGAACTCTGACTGCCTTTTACTACGCTACACAAAGGGTATGAAGTCCAGCGGCGGGTGATATGCCGGTGTATCTTTCACCCTCTTCACGTTCTTCCAGGCCGCAGCCGTCCGCCCATCTCGTGCGGCTATTCGGTATTTTTGACATCATGCGATGCATTACCCCAGGAATAGAGACGAAATCTAAGGACGTAGGCTTATCGGTGCTTCGGAGACCTTGTCGGTGCTTCTCGATCTCGTGGTACCGATGGAGATTCACCTCTCTTGCCCATAGGGTACTACCTTCTTGGGTTCCATTTTCTTGGGGATGAAACTGCGCCCCATGAGAGCATGTTCTGGGTATATAATCGTGCCAACTCATGGCTGAATATGTCTGCGTGCCTGGCTCTCGCGCCGTATAACCCCCCTTCAGAACCAACTCCCACCTCGCCAAGATCTTCCCAATGGCTGCACCTGCCCCAGTTAACCTTGAGCGTGGAACCGCTGCCAACACCGGTCAGTAAACCAAAATAAACTACTCGTCTAGCTGACACATTCTAGTTGTGACCCAAGGCACGGCGCCTGGGAGTACCTTTGCCGATGCGTACGAGAAAGCGGGTCCTGACCTGAGCCGCACATTGACGACCGAGACTCAGCCCGCGTTCCCAATCTAGTGCGTCCCCGCATCCTCCCACCCTCAGCTCAGGACTAACCCCGCATCAGCCATCGCCGGCTTGCCAACCCCTCCCCACTCGGCCTCTACTCCTTCGCATCCACCACACTCATGCTCTCCCTGATCAACGTCGGCGCTCGCGGGCTCACAGTGCCCCAAGCCGTGATCGGCATGGCCTACGGGTACGGCGGGCTCTGCCAGCTGCTAGCAGGGATGTGGGAGTTCGCCTCGGGGAACACGTTCGGTGCGACTGCTTTCTCGAGCTATGGCGGGTTTTGGATCTCGTATGGCGTGAGTCACCTTCTCCCTTCCTCTCCCGGTCGCGGATCCCTAAGCCCACATGCGCAGATCCTTAACACCCCCGCGTTTGGCGTCTCGGCCGCATATACGGGAGAAGCAGCCAGCCAGCTCCCAAACGCCCTCGGCATCTACCTGGAGATGTGGTTCATCGGTACGCCTCCCTCCCTCCCTCCTCCCGCCGCTTTGCGCACCCAGCTCACCCGCACGCCGCACGACAGTAACAACCCTAATATTCTTCGGCACCTTCCGGTCCTCTTTCGCACTCGTATTCCTCTTCTTTACGCTGTCACTGACGTTCCTCCTCCTGGGGATAAGTAACTTGCTAGCTGAGCCGGCGTGTCAGACCGCAGGGGGCGCATTCGGGTGAGCCAATTCCCCCTCGTTTCGCACTGAGATGTGCTGATCTGGGTGGTGGGGGTAGGATCATCGCTGCTCTGACAGCGTACTATGCTGGTTCTGCGGGCTTGTATTCTCCGGATGCGTCGTATGTCCCCTTATTACTTGGGGTGGGCCACCGCTCACCAGGAACAGGTATATCCTCCTCCCCGTCGGGGACCTCCCGAAGCTCAAATAGGAGGTGTGACGGACTACCTTTTTTCGTAGAATTATTTACTGCGGTTTTATTGATGATTATCTGGTTCCCAAACGTGATTTTGCCAGCTTGGCAGCGCTCAACTTGCCCAAGCCCGTGCGACAACCGTCCAAGGGGCAAAAGTCGTGTGCAGTAACATCCCAGTACTCCAATCAACGAAGTCTCTTATCTCTAAACATCCCAGGTGTCAATCTTATCAGGATGACTAAACACGCCGCTCATTCCCACTCTCATCCTCTCCCTCCTCTGCATAACCCCCCGCGCCCCATCCCCTCCAGGCGCAAGTCCTTGCTCAATCTCCCGATCCTCCTGTGCCAACCTCCAATTCTCCTCCGCCTGTCTCTTCCTCCTTTCTCCCAATTCCTCCCTCTGAGCGCGGGTCATCCCCGTCCTCTTTTCCGCCTTTTGCTCTTGGTATTCTTCTTCCGGCGTATCCGTCCATCCATCGAGGAAGACATCCGCCACCCCTCCAAAGACCTCTTTCCACCCCGAGGCGCGCAATACCGCCGCAGTAGCGCGGTCCGAAATGGGGATCTTGGCATGTAGGGGTAGGGACTGTGGTAAGAGCGAGGAAAGCGCGGTTTTGGACTGGCCGTGTTCGTCCCTCGTTTGCGTTAGCGAGCGGTAGACGGCTCGGGCTGTGCGGCCTAGGAGGATCTGGGGGAGGGGGGAGAAAGCGTATGACGGGAGAAGGAGGGGTGAGGTGAGGGATAGGTCGGTGTTGAGTGTTGAGGCGCCGTAGAGTACTGAGCTGGCGGAGGAGGAGGAGGGGGAGAGGGGCCGGGCGACGGAGGAGAATGCGAGACCGTGGGTTATGTAGCGAGGGGTTTGGCGTAAGGGCCCGGAGAGCTAGATCAAGAAATGGTTGTGTTAGCGGGTGATTCCCATGCAAAGGGGAAGGGGAAGGGTTAAAGGAGGACACAGACTCACCTCCCCTACTTCCCTTCTCGTCAACCTTCCAAGCCTCATACCCATCTCCCGTTCCACCCATCCCGCTTCCTCATCGTCGTCCACCCTGAGCACCTCTGCCTGGGGAGGGAGGACCCAGCGGGTGAAGTAGGTCACTTGCATGGTGGAGGGACGGATACGCTGGTAGGACATTATTTTCCTTATTGTGGGGACCCAGAGCTGGGAGATGCTGTTTATGCGAAGGGCTGGGGAGGAGGGTGAGTACGAGCGGACCGGGGGGAAGAGGGGAGAGGGGGTGGTACGGATAAGAAGGGGGAGGGAAATGGAAATGGAAATGGACTCACGTCGTCGAAACTGGCTCCACTCCCCAAGCACACTAACAAGCTTCTGCTGTCCCTGCCACCACATCCCCCCCAACCTCTCATCACACGCGCTCCCATCCATTTTCTCCCCCAAGGTCAAGGCCGGGTCATCCGCTTCTAGGGGAAGCGAGGTGATGGAGGATGCGCCGGTGTCGTAGAGCCGCCCATGGGTGGGGGAGTACCCCCAGCCATGGGATTCGAGTAACAGCCAGGCTTCTTCGCTGGAGTAGAATCGGAGGTCTGCGGGTCCTTCTTCACTTGCTTGGGTTTGTATCCCCTCCCCATGCACCGAGGAAGCTGAATGCAACTCCAAAGCCGAAGAAGCAGAAGCAGGCGGCGTCCCACGCCTACTAACCGAATCCACATCAGCGCAAAACACCGCCCACTGCCCCCCCGGGTCATCCCTCACCTCCCCCCTCTCCAGGTCAGGCACCGGATACCTCCCTCTCCAGAGATAGTACCTTTCCCCGAAGGTAGCGTGGGGGTAGGCGACGTGTGGCTCGAGCGTGCAGTATCGTTTGGGGCGAGTGAGGTTTCTTGTTGGGGATTTCCAGGGATGGGCCAGGGGGATGTAGAGGGAGTCTCTCCCTTGGTTCTGGCTCTGAGTCTGGGTCTGGGAGATCAATTTCTGACCTGATGCTAACGCCCCGCGTTTCCTTTCCTGAAGAAGTGAACGCCGCTCCGCTTCCTTCGCCCGGACAGCAGCACTATCCGTCCAAAATGCGTCGTCGCATCTTCTTTCATTATGGCTCGCTATCGGTGCCACCAACGCTCCTAGCACGGAGAGCGAGTAAGGGAAGTGCGGGGGTTGGGAAAGAGTGCGCAGAGTGATGGGTGGACGTTGGACGGACTGCGTCCCGGGAATCCGGGGAGGGTGGAGAATGGCGCCCAAGGCTAGACGGGGTGGTTCGCCTTTACTCTCTCTTGCCGGTGGGAGTGGGAGGAGCGCACGTTCAGCGTCGATGATGGCGTCTGCATTGGATATCCAGGAGTTGTGGTTGACTGATATTGACCTTGGACTGCGGAATGGCGTTGAGGTTGATAAGGGGATGTCGGGGTTATGTGCATGGCGTTTTCGTTTTTCAGATGGTGGTGGTGAGGTACGAATAGGAGTAGAAGGGATAGGAAGTGGTTTGTGTGCTGCTGATGGATGCAGACACGTTAATGACCACTTCATCGTACACCTTTTCACTTGTGACTTCGACGACCAAAAATGTTCAGATTTCATTCAATGTCAGTGGCAGTGTAGTGGCAGTGTAATACGTCATCAATCTCAGGGTCTACAATATTTGCCACCAAGTCACGGTTGGGTCAGTCAACTCCCTCTCTCCCAATGCCACTCGTCCTCCCCCTTGCACGCAGGTTCCCTCTCCCTGTTCACACCACTCTCTCTTCTCTGAGAGCATGGCGCTCCCTCGCTCACGAACAGCGGAAATCTGTTGGGTTCGTTCCTACTATGGGGGCGCTACATGATGGACATCTTTCGCTTGGTGCGTCACACTCATCCCCCCTACCCCTACTCCCTACTTACCCCATATGACACTCACGCTGATACTGATATCGATATCGATATTGGTAGTCCGCCGCTCCTTACAAGAAAACGACCTCACAATCGTATCCATATTCGTAAACCCGACACAGTTTGCACCACACGAAGACCTCTCGACCTATCCCCGCACGCTCGACTCAGACCTCCAGCTCCTCTCCTCTCTTTTTGTGGTTCCCCCTTCTCAACATCCACAGCCGCAGCCGCAACTGCAATCCCAACCGCAATCGCAATCGCAGCCGCGCACAGTAGCGGCAGTATTTGCCCCTACACCGGAAGTCATGTACCCATCTGGCTACTCCTCCGCCCAGGGCACGTCCACATCCACAGGAAGTGGCACAATCGTCGACCTCCCCTCCCTCTCCCAGCAACTCGAAGGACTCTCCCGCCCTCACTTTTTCAGGGGGGTAAGCACAATCTGTACAAAACTATTCAACGCCGTCCTCCCCCATCGGGCCTATTTCGGGCAAAAAGATATCCAGCAGGCCTTGGTTATACGAAGGATGTGTAGGGATTTGCTAGTGCAGTATCCGGAGGAGAGGGAGGTGCATGTCGTTCCTACTGCTAGGGCGGGGGATGGGCTAGCCCTGAGTAGCAGGAACGCCTACCTCACCCCTCCCGAGCGGGCGCTCGCTCCACATTTGTACCAAGCGCTCCTAGCGGTGCGGGACGAGTGGACGCGGAACCCTACACGGGAAGTGTTAGGCGTGTTCGAGGGACGCATGCAGGACCTTGGGCGCAGGGCGCAGGAGGAAGACGTGAGCGTACGGCTGGATTATGTGGAGCTTAGTTGGGGGGATACGTTAGACCCGTATGAAGGGCCGAGGGAGGGAGTGGTACCCCCGAACCTAGGTCAGGGCGGGCAGGGGGTACGGGAGAGAGAAGGCGAGCAGAGCCTGGAAGTGCAGGGGGGGGCGCCGGTGATATTGAGCGCTGCGCTCTGGGTTGGGAAGACGAGGCTGATCGATAATGTTATATTGGGGGATGATAGGGGGATCGTTTATTGACCTCCCGCTCGGGAACGGGAGGGGGAGGGGGAGGGGGAGGGGAGAGGGGGGTGTAGAATGATAATGATAGTAGTGTAATGCCTGGGGCAAAAGTGGAGATGAATGATCTAGATAGACTGGCACTCCTTCCTACTTACTGCTTACTGCTTGAGCTTGAGCTTGAGGCTTGGTTGAGCTTGGAGTGGTGTGCTGATTGGATCGGAACTTTGAAAAAATCTGCTGGTGGCTGGTGGAAGATGTGTCCAACCAAGTACAAGAGTCGAATACAGGAATCAGAGAGCCCGGGATAGAGGGAGCTCGAGTCGTTACCTACAACCTCCTGTAACTCGTAAGGTTACACCATCTCTGATTTCCCTCATATGTCCACCAGCTTACGAGAGGCCAGTCCAGGCATATCCCCCAACCAGACCAGATATTAACCAAACACCAAGTCCATTGGCAATTGTATCCATATCAAATAAAGGTACACCCAAGCAACAAGGGAAGACAAATCACAACTCGCACAACTCCCAGAAGGACGACGACGACGAAAGCTGCTGTTGGTACAAACGTGGCGCGTGGCGCATAGCGTGCGTGCATACATTCTATAACTTAAAAAATTCGGGTTATCTCCTCCCTTTCCCTTTCCCTTTCCCTTTCGTGCCTTCTTTCTTTCTTTGTTGTTTGGTTTGGTTTGGTTTGGTTTTGTTCTTGGTTTTGGTTTTCGACTACAGGCCAGTACATGCATGCATGCGTGTGGTACAACACCCCTAAGGTTGGTAGTACATGTTCTTCGTCCGTTCTTCCTAAGTTAGCCGATCTCAACACTGGTGAGAAGGGCGGGGCGGGGGATCGAGCACGATCCGTCCTAGTTGTGGTTGTAGCATTACATCGCTCCCTGTTCGTCAACAGTGCCTCGGTGCTCCTGACAATCAAAGCCGTCGTGCATCTCCAACTTGCACGCCGGGCAGATCCTCGTCTGGCAATTCGGGCACTGTAAGACGTCGCCCTCGCTTCCAGAGCCAGAGCGGTAGATGGTCCAGCAGTTCGGGGTGGGGCACCACGCAAACTCTTGGTGCGAGCGGATATGAGTGAGGAAAGCAGATTCTAAGAGAGCGTCAAATTCCGTTTCGTCGGGCACGGCGAGTCGGATAAGCGAGAGTGGGAGCATCCCGGCACATGCCGTGGCGGGACAATTAAGCGGCAGGGCCGCGTCAAGGATATAGTCTCGTATGCAATCGTAGCAGAATGTGTGCCCGCACGTCGATGCGCGCAGGATGGTGTCCGTCACGGGGCATGAACATATGTCACATTGGTCGGAAGGCGAGATCTCCGACCGGGTCATGAAAATCGGAGCTGGGGTCGACGCTGTTGTGCCACCTTGGGAAGCGAGAGCGACTTGGAGTTTCTCGCGAGCCAACAGGGCAGTCTCTTCAGCGCCATACACGGTAATCGTGTTGCTTCGTTCGTCGAACTGGATAAAAGTTCCAGTCTCTTTCTCCACCGTCGCCATAAGCTCCTTGCCGAGATAAACAGACCAGTTGCGCATCGACGGAGTGTTGCGCAAGGTCAAGCGTTTTCCAATGAGGAGATTGTCTATAAGTTTCTTCGCCTTGACGAGCTCTTTCCGGCTGCTCCCTTGGAGCCAAATCGGTTCCTCGGCGGAAAGAGGTGTCCGAAGCCGGAGATTATCGTCCAAATCCTTTTCAATCTTCTCGAGTTCGGTCTTAAGACCGGTCCATTCTCTGGGTATAACGGTGTATTTAACGGTATAAACTTGCTCGACGGAGAGGAGGCTATTGCCGAGGAACTCGACCGACTTGGCGTGCAGGTCCTTGACAACAGCGTCGGTAGCTGAAGCGTTCTGACATCGGGCGTAGATGAGAATTTTGTTCTCCGTCGGTAAGGTGGGCAAGAGATCGAAGGAATCGAGAGGGCCAAATCCAGATAACATATTATGCAACATCTCGACAGCTTCAGAAGCATCAAACGTCGGATCGCCGAGGGAGACGCTGCTCGCCTTGGTGAGCTTCTGCAGCTCCTCCTTGGTCGCGTCTGCTGGCAAGCCAGAGACAGTAGCAGCAAAGTTGCCTCCAAAGGTGTTGCTCTTCGCGACAAGCTTTCGGCCACGGACAACCCGGCCGTCAAGCCGGTGGGCCTCCTTCTGAGCAACTCGGGCGGACGAGTAGGTCGTGTATGCTGTACGAGTAGGAGCCGAGAAAGACACAAGCAAAGTTGGATGGTGCATTTTGGACGCAGGGACAGAGCACGCATCGGTCGGAAGCATCACGCGGTGGACGAGTAGGCCAGCACCAAGGATCGTCGTCGCTTCACCGCCGCGGTCGGTGAGGAAAGTCCGAGTGACTGTCCTCCTCTCCCCTTCCGAGACGGACTTGAACCGCATACCCCTGATATGCTTCTCACTGTCCAAGCCGATCTCGCTGGGCATGTCCTCCGAGCCGGGAGTGTCAGGCACGGGCACATCTTCACCTGTCTCGCTCGTACCAGATGACAAAGCCGGCGGGGAGGGAGATTCCTCCCCTTCGGGCTCTTCGGAGGTCTCCGAACCCGAGCGGAAACGGCGCGTCTGCATTCAGCCATCCATTAGAAGCTGTGTAAACTAAGCGATTGTATACGCACCACAGGGGATAGAAGGCTCGACCCGTCCTTGAGAATCAGGCTCTCGAGCTGGACGAGGCTGAGGCTGCGTGGACGAGACCTGTCGGGCTTAGGCAGCACCTGCTCGAGCTCGAGTTCGGGCTCTTCATGCCTGAATGGGCAACTGTCTTCCTTCCTGCACCTGCCGGAAAGCCAGAACTTGCACGTAACGTTGAGCTTAGTCCACCCATCCGGCCTGCCCGTGCGCCCCCGCTCGAGATCTTCGGCAGTGACGCCGGCCTCGAGTGCCGCAGGGTCGTGCAGGAAGGTGCAGCGGTCACCGCGGTTACATTTGCCTGCGAGGTAGAAAGAACAGAGACGAGTGCGATGCTGGAGCTCCTTGAACGACCTATTCTGTACGCGGGGGTCTACACCCTGTCCATTGGGAACGTTGGTGGGAGGGTAGAGGGAAGGGAAGTAGTCAGCTGCGTTGAAGAGCGAGAAGGGGTTTGCGTCGTCGTGCGAGAAACGGCAGGCAGCACCTTTGGTACAGCGACCCTGGGCGTGGAAGACACAGACGTTTCGCTTGGTGTATGCGGACTGGGTGGGGATGGACAGAGGCGGGTAGAGGGTAAACGAGTGCTGCTGGTGCTGATGCTGGTGTTGGTGAGGGTTGAATGTGGGGTCGGTGTGCATAATCTGGCTGGACGGGGGCTGGTGGTGGTCGGGAGAGAGCGAGGGGGGTGTTCGAGAATGTGAAGCCAGATATTCGGATGTTAGACGGGGATGGCTTGAGGGGTGAGAGGGTGATATGCTGTGTATATGCGCCTCTTGACAAATCACTTTGCAGTTCTCAGCTGTTTTCGGTGCGTCGGGTGAGCAGAATAGGAGAGAATATGAAAATGAATTTCCTGTCCTTCTGTTACTCCCTTTTCTGTAATGAATACGGATGGAGGAGATGAGGAGGATAAAGGAAGATGGGAGGAGAGATGATGGAGGAGAGATGGAGAGATGGATATAGGCTGACGCTGTGCTCTTCTGCCCACACAGCGGCTTGCTACGGCGGAGGCACGTTGCAGGGGCGCTCTCACCGGGGCAAGGGTCATTCATCCTTAACTACCCTCTAAACCCCGTTTCTAAGAACTCGTAAACAACTTCATGAATATTAATAAGAAATATCCATATGCGCCATTTGTGGGCAGTGCAAGTCCTTGGGAACAGTGCACGGCGATCAAACACCTATGCGCATCCCTCTGCGAAACTGCGTAGACCAGTCCAGTACTACGCAACCGCTTCCCTCCATAATCCACCTCAACAGTCATCCAAAATGAAAACCTGCATCATCGGCAGTACATCGGAGCAAACTATTCCCTCCTGTCCAAATGTGAGCAAGTATCATCCTTCCACCGACTGTCCCGGCAGTAGTCGCAGGGTCGAAGGGGTCGCTTACGACAGTCTACGGTGGAGGAGGGACAAAGAGATGGAACGAGAGCGTACCCGCAAGTCCATGTGCCAAGTTAACAACCCTGCTCCCACACTTTCTCTCCAGCAAACACCCCCCCCCTCGGCCACACATCCCGAACAACCGTATGCTCTCTCTCCCGGCTTTTTCGGCCCCTTCAAGTATGCATATGGGAATATTCGAGAAACCACCCTGCTCTGGCTATACATGTTCCGTCCGTCCGTCCATCCGTCCGTTCAGGCTGACTGCTAGGGTATAATAGGGTATGGAAAACGTTAAATGGAAGCTTGCGACAGCCTATGCAGGAACGTGCCACGGGGATCAAGAGTGCACACGTGTCTGGCCTAGAATGGCACAAGTTGAGTGGGAGAGCGGGTCCAAGCTCCGGCTCGATCTTGTGCAGAAGACCACATGCGACGGATGATCATCCATTATTGGGAATACATTAATGGTTGTATTGCTGATATAAGCGGGAAGTGCCGTTCTACACTAAACAGAGAGAGTAGGACGACAGACAGCCTATATTCCCTGTATATTGTAAATGCATTATAAGTCTAATGTACAACGAACCCATACACCATCAAGAGATAGAAGGTAACGCAAACAGCGAATGCCAATCCAAGCCAAGTCTCCTGAAGTCACCCAAACTAGCAACACCTCCTTTGTTGTCTCGTCCCGCCCAGTCTGATCCCACTTCGCTGCTTCCCCATGACCTGTTCGGCCCCGGACTCCAAAGACCGCTCAGCCTCCTCCTCCCTCAGCTGCAACACCTTCCTCGCCACGTATTCAAACACGGGCACGATACTCCCCCTATCGAGGGAAGAGGTGAAGAACAGAGCCGGCTCGGCGATCTCCTCCTCGACAGGTTCTAGGCTCAACAGATCGGGGATGATGTCCTTCGCCTGCGTGCCTGGCTCTTTAGATTTCTCCGCCAGGGCGAAAGGAGTGATCGTAGCCTCGGACACGGAGATAAATGACACCTGCGACTCCTGACTACTTGAGGACTCGCCCCTCCTCCGTTGGCCAACTCTGGGTGGCGTCGCAGGCGGAGTGGGCGTGTTCACCCGTCCACCAAGCTCGGCGTCCAGTCGGTCAAAGAGGCTCGAGCTGGGTGTGTGGTACACTGATGGGTGGGTCGCGAGTGTGCTGATCGTCCCGACAGTCCCGTTCGCGGGGAGGAGATGACGAGATAGGGAGGTGGACCTGGTGTGAAGGGCGTGTGAGTGCGAGGCAGACGGCGTGGGGATGGGCGAGGTGCGCAGGACGGGGAGGAGGGAAGCGTGCGGCGGTGAGCCATCGTGTGGTGGAGACGGCGATGGGGAAGGGGATGGTTGAGGGGCAGGAATGGCGAGTTTTGGTGCTGTCGGGAGGACGGGTGTGATCTGCGCCGGGTCGCCGAGCGCGAGCTCCCCTCGTCGCCGTTTCCTCCCTCTGTGCTGTTTTGCCAGCTCAGGCCAGAGCGCATCCACAAACGCACGCGCGGCGTCCTCCTCCACTCCCTCCCCCGGGCGCTTCAAATCCAGCTTGTTCCCAACCGCAACAACGACAGCGCCCTCCGTCCCCTCTACACCACTGAACTCCGCCCACCACTTACGTAGCGCCTGGAGCGTCTTGGGCTTCGTACAGTCAAACACGAGCAACACGGCGTCTGCACCTCTGAAAAAGGCGCGCGAGAGTGGGGCGAATCGGTCCTGCCCCGCTGTATCCCATAGCTGGAAGATACAAGCTTCGTGCGGGGGGAACGTGAGTGTGAGGCTGTGGAAATCGAGCCCCACTGTAGCGCGGTACGAGGGCGAGAAGCGCGATGTTGTGTACTATGTTCAACATTAGCGAACACGGGTTGATCATCCATCAGAGAAGATGTCAGCGCACCTGGTTCCTCAGACTAGTCTAGGGACAGGGCGAATCATGCATATGAGCGACGGCCGGTTAAAGTGGTCTAACGCATACGGGCGCACCTTGCCAACACCACACTCGCCGATGATGACAACTTTGATAGTTTGCATCATCCTTGCTCGCTGCTGTGTGGTGCGAGCGTTGGCTCCCCCTTCACTCGCAGTGGTCGTCGTCTAGATAGAAGTAGCCAGGAGCGCAGTAAAGAAGTAAGTGATACGATTACAAGAGCATACAGTGTCCCCTCATGAAGAAGGGACGCTCGGGTCAACATATCCGTGTGCGATACATTCATGCCGAGTTGCCGGTCATTCACACTCCGCCTGAAGTTTGGCCGCACACAAACCTTATCTTGCACCTCTCTTTGTCCTTTCAACACTCTGTCTGCTTGAATACCGGACATCTTTGTTCCTGTTCATCAAGCCGCGGACGATCCGGAGCAGCTTGGCTTTGTCCGGAAAAATGACTATGTTCCGGCTTCGTACCTGGACTAGTACACGGCTGTTGATACGCTGAGATGATCTGCCAGCACACAAACTGAGAACAACAATCGCTCAGCTCGCTCAGCAACTTGATGCGTCTCTCCAAAATGTCCACCTAGGACCTGCCGAGTGACTGCACTTTCTGAAGAGAGATGCTGTCATCATGACCTCATGTTGGTTGTCCTCTTCCGTGCTGCTCATCTGCTCATCTTCCTTCGCAGGCGATATGAAGATCAGTTCTCGCGGTCTGCGAAAACCATGTTCCACGAAGCCTTGCGCCAGCTCAAGCCTCCCCGCCGGCCAGTCTCCACATTAGCGCGACACGGACTCCCCGTGGGACTGGCATCGTCCATGGCCCGATGATCTTACGACACGACCGAGATGTCCCCATGTAGCTAGCTCGCTGTACTCGCCCACCCTCGCTACGGGGACGGCGGTATGGCCGATGACCTGTGCTCGCTCTCGCAGGTAGAACAGCCAGCGGATCAGCCGAAATACGGGGTGCGGATCTTCTCCTGGTCCGGAGATGAGCCTGTTCTTTCCTACCAGGGCATGATCCCACGCTTTCCCGCCGGATCTCCGAAAATAGCAATCAAAACAAGGACGGAATACGCCAGCCGGCCGCCCTCGGTCGAAAACTTCAAAGTTCACGAAGATGTTAGAATCGTGGAAAACAGGTCGGTGAGAGGATGCTGTTCTGCTTAGGCTAAACGCTGAGCTGGACGCGATTAGCTGCGAGCCCCGCTATCGGCACGGGCGGGTACCTGACATGCCGTATCAAGAAGCCCTCCCTTTTCCAGAGGGCGTATGGTGCCCCGTTTGGACATTTCAGGAGCCGATGAGGCTAACGGGACGATGGAATGCGGGGCATGTTCCTTGCGTTCGGAACGCGAGCTGTCTTAATGGTTCGCCTCCCGCTCACGCAGCACAACACAGTTCCTGCCGATTTGCAATGCCGAATGGTCGAGTGGACTGTTACGATGCTATCTTCGGTACACAGTATGGCCATTCTCGGTCCTGCCGGAGGTTAGATTGACCAGCAACGACTTGGCAAGGACAACATATCACCACACGGCGTCATACTCTCTGGCAAAACTTCGGGTTGTCCTCCATCCCTCTCGTCATCCTGTTCCTTCCGCGGACAGGTTTCAAGTTCCTTACAGCCAAACGAGGTCCGACCCAAAGACGTGGCACTTTTTCCTTCTTTCGAGCGCCTTCGGATACCGGTATCCCCGGGGCAAACCGGCCGTGACCCCACACGTCGTTATTTAAAGTCCCCCGCATTCGACCCCACGGGTTAGCCTGTTACGTTTCTCATTGCTCCCAGAGTCCGCAAGGTCCCCGTCCTCGCGCGTCTCTGACCCCTACTACCCAGCTCCAACACTCACTCAACATGGCAGGCGGTGCCGCGATTTCTACAGGCGGTTCTGCCGCCAACCAGCTTCTTCACCAGGAAGTTTGGTGGAAAAATCCACGTAAGCCCTGCGTGCGCTGCTGGATCCACAGTGAATTGAACATTCCTCTATAGGCCGAGTCAAATTGAACCTATGGATTCTACTTCTCCTTATTACCTCATACAGTAATGGTTACGACGGATCGATGATGAGTGAGTACATACCCATCCTGTTTGGGAAATCCTGCTGATACTCTCCAGATGGTCTTCAAATATTGATACAAGGGCAGGAATCATTCAACTATCCCAACGGTTTGTCCTTTCGTCATATACTCGCATGAGATCTGATGTACAGTCAAGGATCGATGCTCGGCCTGTTGAACGCAATCCAGAACGTCGGCTCCCTGTGTGCGACACCTTTCGCTCCCTATGTTTCTGACGGCATTGGCCGTCGTTACGCCGTCATTTGGGGGGCCTCTCTCATGGTGATCGGTAAGAATCATACGATCTAGTCCCCCTTTCCTAAAGTAACAACATTCCCAAGGATGCGTCGTTCAGACCGCTTCGCAAACTGTCGGGATGTTCATCGGTGCTCGGTAGGTCACAAATCTGGTCCTGTTGATGCATATTGACCTGAGCTCCTTTTCTTGAAGGTTCTTGCTGGGTTTCGGCCTAACATTCGCTGCTAACGCCGCGCCAATGCTTGTTTCCGAGCTCGCCTATCCCGACCAACGCGCGCAGCTCACCGTGCGTTCCCCAACATGTTTCCATCACAAACAGTGCTAATGAGCGTGCTTGCCACAGTCAGCATATAACTCCCTCTGGTACTCAGGGTCGATTGTCGCTGCATGGACAACCTTTGGAACCTTCACGATGACTGGGACCTCGTGGTCTTGGCGCATCCCTTCCGCTATCCAAGCGATTCCGTCTGTTCTTCAAGTCCTCTTCATGTGGTGGTGTCCCGAGTCTCCACGTTATCTAATGAGAAAGGGGCGCGAGGAGGAAGCTCTCCGGGTGTTGGCACACTATCACGCACGTGGAAATGAGGTACACACAACGAGCTCATTTGGGGAACTTTGCTCATCACTGTCCGTCCTAGAACGACCCCCTTGTGCAGTTCGAATTCAACGAGATCCGCGAAGCCATTGAACTGGATGCCCGCGTAGCCCAGCAAGTTGGCTGGAGAACCCTTTTCTCGACCCCCGGCAACCGCCGTCGGTTGCGTATCTTCTTAGCGCTTGCGTTCTTCAGCCAATGGGCTGGCAACGGCCTAGTGTCATACTGTAAGAAATGATCGAAGTCTAAGTTCATACACACGTCTCATCGTTCAAAATAGATCTGAACAAGGTTCTGAACTCTATCGGCATCACCAACGGCACAATTCAAAACCTCATCAACGGCATATTGCAAATCTACAATCTTGTCGTCGCCCTGGTTGCATCTTCCTTGGTCGACCGAGCTGGTAGACGCCTGGTTAGTTGCACATCTCTCCTGTCATCCTGTCCACTGATGATGGGATAGCTGTTCCTTCTTAGCAACAGTGGTATTCTTGTCTTTTTCACCCTTCAAACCATCGGCATAGCCAGGTACAACACTGATGGGAGCAGTGCCGCAGGGAATGCGGTCATTGCCTTCATTTTCCTCTTCTACGGCTTCTACGACCTTGCTTATACGCCACTCATTGTGTCGTACACCGTGGAAATTCTGCCCTATCAACTGCGTGCGAAGGGTTTCACGCTGTTCAACTTCATGGTCTCATTGGCTCTGATTTTCAACCAATACGTCAACCCCGTTGCGTTGGACGCCATTGGCTGGAAATACTGTAAGTTGGTGAGATGTCTCTATGGGTTCATTAGCTGATAATCTTCAGACATTGTGTACGACTGCTTCCTTCTCTTCCAGTTGGTTTACATGTGAGTGTACTGGGAATTGTGGCAATCCCAGACTTACTATGATACCAGTTGGTTCTTCCTCGTGGAAACGAAGAACCGCACTTTGGAAGAAACAGCAGCAATCTTTGATGGTGATTCCGATGTCGCCGATCTTGCAAGCCGCGCAGCTCATGACGCACACTTGGATTCGCCTGTTCCAACGTCTTTGTCGGTAGATAAGACAGACAAGACAGTAGAGATTGCAATGGTAGAACAGGCGTAGATGGTGCTTTTGGTTCCTTGTATACTGACTGTTCTCCGCATGTCGCGGCTGTCGTCTGTACTTTTGTGAAAGACTCTCTTATCATCGCACTTCATCTATCATCAATATTATCGCCTTTTCTTCTCACTAGCCTGTCCTCCCCTGTGTGATCACAATCTGCATTTGATCGGAATGGCGTGCAGACCCGCTGCTATTGTCCGTGAGCCCCGAGTTCATGCCGTCCACGATGCATTTTCAGCAACAAGTATTGATAGTAATGCATCTGCGTGGCACTGATCGGTAACAGTGGAGATTTCAAGGCGCTGTTGACCAAAAGTCGGGCTGGGCTACAGCAGGAACAGTACTACCAAAAACATGTTGTGCAGAGACTAGGAACTGATGCAATCATATTGCATGGTGGCAACTCACCATACCACAACGAAACATATCTACTTATCGAGGTCCAATTTCGACATATCCCTGTGTGTATCCACGGGGAATGAGTACCAGAGCATGAAGCCGTTTTTGAGGAGGTATGCAAGTCGTGCGACCGTTTTTCCTGAAGGGTAGTGCCTATGTATTCCGGTTAGGTGACTGCCGAGATGCACAACACGTAGGCCACCATCGTCGACACCGAGAAGCATACCGTACTGGAACTCAGGTTTGATTCTTGTTGTTTTTCGGAGAACGCCAAGCTCGTAGAGGAGGTAAGTCGTAAAATGAAAGTGAGTAGCGCCTTCACGACGAAGATCCTCGATTCTGGGGCAACAGTCCCAATCGATAGGAATCGGTTCCAGAAATCTTGTCCATCCGGATCGACAGGATCGACAGACTTCTGCCGCCACTTCTCGGCACTGTAAACTTGCCGCCGCAAAACTAACCATGCTATGGGGACTGTAAATGAATTCGGCGATAGCGATCCAGATTTCCGTGGGGAAGCGTTGTGGTTGGGTCAAAACTGGACGGACAACAGCACATTTCGCGAAGGCGTCGGAAGTGCTACACGAGAGCCACAAGTTTGGTCGATTAGATAGACGAGCCACGGACGTAATGCCTGCAGTTGCCATACTGGTTGCAAGTGGTTTCGGAAGAAATGGTAAAGTGGTTGTATATTTGTAGTCCCATTTGTCACCGTCCAAGGTCGCACGAAGGAGCACCACATCGAAAAAGGAGAAGAGAATTCCAAATATCGTTCCCCGTTTAATCGACTTGTCGATCTCCGAAAGACTCGCTCCGGCTTCCCGATGTACAGATTCTGGCGTGCTCAAGTCGTTGGTGATCCACAGAAAAACATCCGCTCGTAGCCAAGTTAACGCCAACGCATCGTCCGGGCCCTCGTATGTCCATTCTAAGTCGTACACAAAGATGGGACCGAATACCGAGCTAGCTGCGGCTCTGCGCAATTTCAGCGGGATGTCTTTTCGGTCAGAGAAAGCTGGCAGCCAAAAAAGATGATCACCGGGGGAGTATATGTTGAGAAAAGTGCCGACCAGGACTTGAAGGATGGAGTCTCGTAGTTTTTCTCGAGGCGTCAGGCATTCGCCAACGTCCAAGAGCTCATCTACAGAGATCTCCTTCTCTGCCTTCACTACATGTTCGTACGAGAAGACAGAAACCGGAGGAGTTTTCGCCGGCCAACGATGGAATATGTAGCGATGGTTATACGGCATGGAGTGAGAAGCTGACTGATTGGGTTTCCAGCCTTCGAATATGTCTTCAATAGGCATGAAAGGTAGGCTACATATCGGGCGACCATTCACGACAAAGGTGAGGTTGTCAAAGTCGATCATGTAATGCCAATGTCCGTCGCTCGTGTTGCGTCTTGGGTCCCTTGTGGCAACGAACTCTCTTCCGTCACTATCTTTGAAGTATCGATCTCTCTCCTTGTCTATCTCTGAGCAAGCGATGTTATTTCTGTTTTCAGCGGTAGAAGAGCATCATCACACACTCGCAGTGTCGCTCTTTAGGAAAGTGTCCAACCTCTCCTTGTAGCTCTGAGCCCATTCATCAAAACGGTCGGAGTCTGTAGGAATACTTGCAAGGATTTCAAGGCCCGGGTAGTAATTCCAAAAGTAAATATGGAGAAAGTACCAGCCGTCATAGCAGAAACCCTTGCCCATGTGTCGGACAGGGATGTTCAGAGTCAACCAGTGGTAAGGGCTTTTTATGGATTGAAACGGGAGCAAAGGTGATTTCGTAATGAATGGCAATAGAGTCGTGGCACGTGCCCATCGGGGGTAACCAGCCTACTGGCATCGCTTTGCTCCTGAACCACCATCAAGTTGACATTGCAAACATGGATATTCTTTGTACACATGTTCCTGCTGTTACTCTCAGCCTGACTAGCTTTGACCAGTGGCTTACCATCCAAGAGCAGCTCGCTGGGCATTGGAACAAGACTGACCCGACCTTCGCCAATGATTACCAAGCGATGCAGCAGTACTTCGCAAGCATCACATCCGAAAGCAACGGCTGGATGTGGGATGGACGACGGTGTGGAGATAGTGAATTCGTATTTGACCTGGCGACGCGGTTGCGGAATATCGTGGTGGAGCAGGTCGACACCGCAGTGAATCGGCCAACCCAGTTCAATCGTCGCGGGTGAGTCAGTGCGCCCCTTTGCACAACATTCTATTGATGCTATCCTAGCGAGATGGTGTGCTACTTTGCGGCATTCGCTATCGTATCCCTAATCCAGCGCTTTGTCGTCTGTGCCCACGGAACAATGGGCCATCAGCAGATCGAGTCCTTGCTGGCAAAGAGGTTCAGCAAGGTCGATTCGCAATAATCGTCTTCCTTTTGTCGAGCCCATGAGATGATCCTGACTGAGAGATGTACGTGCTAGGGTATCACAGGAAAGGAATGATTTTGACAAGTTATGGTAGAGAGGGCAACCCGGACGCTGTGTTGCTTCGCGAGATCTGCCCGCAGTAGGAGGGTGTACTATCATGCCAGTAAAACCACGTCGGCCCTGCGAATCTGCAAAAACAAGATCCAGTTTGTCTCCAAAGGACTAAGACCAAAGTGACGTACTCAAATTCCCATCCTGTAACGCATCTGTCAGGTTCTTCTTGCATCTCACGAGCCATTTATCACATCGATCAGGATTCACGGGTATCGTGCAAAGGACATCGACCCCCAGCACACGTGGTATGCTTTCCATATGGTTGTATGCAACGCAGTACCACCCATTGTACCGATAAACCATGAACCTCTCATACCCATGTCAAAATGTGAAGGGTGAAGGAACAGGGAACATGGACCTACGCCCGCTTTAGATGTGATCACGGCAAATATAGGACAAAATGAAGTCGTCGTATGACTGTGCTCTGACTCCGACAAATTGCGATCAATTGGTCACAAAAGGCCTCTTAGGGGAGCACCGATGTTGGCTCAACAACAAAGTAGTGTTAAACATTAGTTCCTACTCCTAGTAGAATCGCTATGCAAAAGTTCATTTGGACCATCTTGACCAATGCTTTGGACGGTCTAAAGCTCGCACGGGGCGAACGAGAATTGCTAAGGCCTCGCTCTACAAGGAGAAAATGGCAGGAACCGGAAGTTGTCCCCCCTTGATCAACATCGATTGTGCTGGGGGAGAACAATTGTCTCGGTCGCAATTGGATTCATCAAATGCAGTTAGTTATTGACCTCACTGTTTTAAAACATGATATGCACAGTTACGTACGGACTCTGTTCTACGCATCTAACGGGAACCCGGAGTTGACGTCCGGGTTGTAGGGGTATGAAAACCAGGCGACTGGTCCGATTCAAATGACCTTAACAGGTAGGCAGCCAGTTCCAGTTAATCTTTCTCTTCAGCCGAAATGAGCTACACGCAGTCCATTGGTGTCTTCAGCGAAAAATGTGGTGTAGTGCAAGTTGTGCTTGTCCTGATTTATGTTTTGCGTCCAAGCAGGACGAGCAGTTCTCCGGACAGAGTGCAGCGCGTAGTTGGGGTAGTAAAGAGGGGAACAGATTTGACTTCATCAGAGTTCCAATCGATAGGCCGAGGTTTCAGCAGGCGCACACCAGAGCTTTGACAGATCCCCATCACGTTGATCACCGCGGTTCGAAACTGTTGATTGACGCGTGATAAGGAAACTAAGTCCCGTGCGTCGTACACAAGTTGGGCGATAGCATGGCAAATTGTCGTAAGGAATGGACTGCAAAGCCACGGCGAAGCAGGGAGGAAGAGGATAGGATGCGACGCCCTTTGAGAAAGGCAACAACATGAAGCCCACATTCGGTTGACAAGCCAAACGCGCCAACGCGGTGATTCCGGGTGTCGTGGGCGTGGTAGCAAAAGGCCCAGGCAGGAACGGTAACACAGTCGTGTGAGAATATTGCCAGCGCCCGTCTTGTCGTGTCGCACGAAGCACGACGACATGAGAGAAGGAGAGCAAGATTCCAAACACGACACATCCCTTAACAGAAGTGTCGACCTCGCAAAGACTCGCACATGCGGCTTGATGCACTGAAGGTGGGGTTGTGAGATCGAGAGTGAACCAAAGGAAGGTATCGACTCGTAGCCATATCAACGACAATGAGTCGGCAAGTCGCTTGTGCATTGCGGAGAAGTCGGGTGCGAAAGCCGGTGCGAGTACAAGTCGGGCGACTTTGTCTCCCAATTCCTTGGGTATCTCCTTTCGATCCGAGTGGGTGGGCAACCAAGGAAGGTAATGCGGTGCAACCGGCGTGCATAGAAAATTACCGACGAGGATTTGCAAAAATGATTCTCGAACTTGCTCGCAGGAGGTCAGATCTTCTCCTATCTCTAAGAGTTTATGGATTAAAACCTCCTCGAGCGCTTGAAACCTCCTCAAGCCCCTGAACCCTCCTAGAAAAGAACATCATCATGACATCTAGTCGGACTTTGATGGCACGAGGGACGATATAGACACGTTGGGGCGGTGTTGTGGCCGAGGGCGACAGATGGCCATAGTGATCAACGGTGATGAACGATTCGTATATAAGAACGGGAGGTCTGCAACACAAGTTGAACATAGGACTTCCGTTGATGTGGAAGGTGAAGGTATCGAAGTCAATCTCGTAGATCCATTGGATGAAGCCGTCGATCTTCGGACGTTTTTTTGGGAGTAGTAATTGCGGAAGTCGTCCCCTATAAAGTGTCGGCTGCCTCCAATATCTACCCAGGCAAGATCAAGTTGATGTCCAACAGTACAAACATAAGACCACGGGTACGTACCAAGAGGCCCGTTCTGTAAAGCATCCGTCAACCTTGCCATATAACTCTGGACCCATTGCTCGAAGCGCTCAGGATCAGTGGGTATTGTGCAAAGTATATGGGCGCCCAGTGTGTCTGGGTAGCTCTCCAAGGGGTTGTAATTGATATAATACCATCCATTATACTGATAGACAATGAAGCCTCTGGTACCCATGCTAGGATGTGAATGAGGGAGGAGGAGAGAGTCCCCTAGCTCGTGATAGTAGTCCCCTAGCTCGTGAGAGTAGGGTTCTTCGACTCGGGATCAAAACGCTGACAGTAGAAAGGGTATGGTAACTCCATGGAAACTTGTTAGTTTCCTCGTTTGTATTTAGATTCCATGTCATCAAATCCTCGACATAAGAGCTAGGGTCTTGCAGCCAGTACATCCGGGTTTCTGGACATGGATTTCAGATGGAAGATCTGTAATCTGTAATCCATAATCTGGCCTCGGCTGTGCAAGGGTCCAGCCGGATCCTCGGCACAACTCTTCTAAATTTATGTTAGTTTCTTTATTTAGTTAATTGCTTTATGTAAAATTACTGAATAATAATATTTTTTCAACATCCACACAACACATCACTGATATTCTTATACTGCATCAAGACCATCACTATCACTGTCACCATCCTCTACTGCTCTTATGGAAATTTCTCAGCTTCTCTCTCAGCTCCTGGAGGTCCAACAAGTGCTTACTGGTGTTTCTGTGGAGCAAATGTTCTCATTCTTGGCTTTGGCTCAACATCTTCAGACAAGAATTGCCTGGCAGGAAGTCCATACACTCACCCAACCAGCAACTCCTCCTCTTACTCTTCCCAACACTGTGGTGTCTTTCCTGAGTCAGGTACTTGACTTGCAGGATGCTCAAGTCATGGAACTTTGGCAATCTCTCAACCAAGTCCTTTGGAATCCTGCCAGAGATGTCATGGCCCTCACTCAACCATTGTTGGAGAATTCACACCCTTTCAGGCCTATGCACACCTGACTGAACTCAGTAAGTACTTTCCCAATCAGTCTCCACAGGAATAGACTGACATCAATTTCAAGGTACTGAAGAATTCTATCCCCCTACATGCACCTGCTTCAATCTCCACTGTCCCCACTTTGTTCACACCTCTGAGGCAGCAGCACTGTATGATCCGCAGCAATATACAGCTGCTCTCTACACCCTCAGCCATGGTGCCTTCCCTGTCATAGTTAACTCCCTCAAATGTTGCCATTGCAACACCAGATATCACCTCAATTACTCATGCCAAGAAGCCCCTGGTAAAGGAATGTGTCAAATTCACTATGGAGGGATGCCACCTGTGCTCCAATCTGAGAAGCATCTCCTGTTTGAGGAGGGACTTTGTGGCCTCTTCTGCTCATATACTGTTCTATCACAGTGAGTACATATCCAGCAAAGATTTCTCAGACTAATTCCTTCACAGTGCTTCAGCAGGAACCACAGCAAGAGTATTTCATGATTCATTGGGAAGGAACCAGACTCACAACACTGGGAGCTATGCAGTTCCTCACCTGCATAGTGAATACCTCTCTGAATTCTTTGACCTCTACTCACTCCTCCTGCACCATTCTGAGCAAGGCACCCAGCTCACTCTTCCTACCATGGCCAGCAGCCAGAGTGACTGACTCACTGCTGCCATGATAGAGAGAAACATCTTCATGGCAGCAAATGGGCAAGAGCACTGGTCACACTTGCAACCTTTGCAGAAAGTTCTTTGACCATGATGGAGAGCAATGTGAGTTTACTCTTTGATGAGGGGATCTCATCACTTACAGAAGTATCCAGACATGCTATCTTGTGCTGTCACTGATGGAGTTTTGATTGGGCACCCTTGCTGTGGAGTCCACAACTGTGCCATCCCCCTCTCTTCCAACCATGCATGGTATTGTCCACTTCACACAGGCAGGGAGGCAAGCTGTGCAGCAGAAGGCTGTAATAATGGAGCAGAGCCTGGTAGGAAGACCTGCTCCAATCCTGAACATCATTTGCTGGAAGAAAATTACTATGCTGCTGGCCAGTCTGCACTTCAGCTGCAAGATTGACACCAACATGCCAAGTCTTATTCTTGAGAAGGGGACACTCCTGATGTCCCCAATACCAGCAGCCACCATGGAGGGAGGAAGAAGGCACCTGGGCTCAAGGCCCACTTTGGCAGGAGAAGGATGCACAATGAGCAACTCATTGTGCATCCTTGTGGGGTCATTGTGGCCAGGGGCACTTTCTATGGGGCTGAGTCACTTTCCTCTGTAGCAGTGAGTATTTGTTTCTTATTTACAACATCCCTTTATAGACCTTCTTCAGGAATTCATTCATGGTGTTTTTCCCACACCCCAGGCAATGCCAGATGTCATGTTCTATGACAACAACTGTTGCCTCCACCAGTATCTTTCAGGACAAGGACCCATTCAAGAACATTTCAGCAAAACTGCACTGGTGGTAGATGTTTTCCATTTCAAGAACCATCACTCCACTGCTGACCAGTACTGCTCCACCCATTGCAATCCAATGGCCTTCCCTCAGCTCTACAACCAACAATCTGGCCAGTGGACTTTCAATTCCTCTGCATGTGAGCAAACCAATGCATGGTTGAGGAATTTTGATGGAATAGTGCAAGAAATGTTGCCAGTGAGATATGAGTTTTTCCTTGATGAGGTGATCAGGGCACACAACCATTTTTGTGTTGATGAGCTGCAACACAATAATGCACTTCCCTACCTTATGGATAGATCTTTGTTGTTAAATGGACTAAACAGCATAGCATAGCAGTAGGATCATAATGTCATAGGTAGTAACATATCAATATTGAGTTCCTCAGTACTACTTGGCATTGTTCCTGAGGTTTGCATCTTCCCTAGCAGCAGCACAAAAGGTAATCCAGTCTTGTGAATCATTCTGCATGAATGAAGCAAGAGTAGTAGGACTGGCCACCTCCAGCCACCATGCATTATCTGACCAGGTTGTTGCAGGCACTGTATATCCTACAACAGAAACCTGTGCTACAGAGAATGATTCTCTGTTCTTCACCCTCTCCCTGACTTCCTCAATCTGTCCATTAATCTCCCTGAATGTGTGCAAACCAGGCCACTTGGCTTGGCATCCACAGGCCTTCTTCAGGGATGATCTTGAGGTGGCTGAGGCAGTTCTGGGAAGGATATCCTGCTTGAGACACACATTGAGGTCAAATTCCTGCTTTGTAAAACTTCTGGCTCACTGCCACTTTAACTGCTTCTCTTCTTCCTCTTCCCAGCCATTGGTGGTGGCTTCACCAGAGATAACTCCTCAACTTCAGTCACAGGGCTTGCTGCAGGTGTTGAGCAAGTTGATTTCTGTGGGGTTGAGTAGGCTGACAAGGTTCCATGGCATATGTCCTGTGGCAGCTGAGTTGGTGCATGCTCTTCTAGGGCAGCCTTGATAGCTGGGGCAGTCTTCCCAAGGCCAGCATGGCAAAAAAAAATTACTTCCTCCCTCTTGATCTCCATTGTTGCATCATGCTGGTAAATGGCCCAGCACCCTGTAGATGGGAGATAGACTTCCAGAAAGTCTTGACCAGGGTACTCAGTTTGCAGCATTTTCTGAAGGTAGCTGGGCCACTTGTTGATGGATGTGGGGAGACCCCAAGCACTCAATGAAGCAACTAGTCCATCATATCGAGTAGTGTCATCCTGGAGTCAACAAAGTCAGTAGAAACCTTACAAGTGTTAGCCACTGGCTTACCTGTTGAATTCCAACCACTGAGAAGCAACAGGCTAACATCTCATGCTCATTGTGAGCCTCCTCATCTTCCTGCTGACATTGGGCATGCAAGGGTGCCTTGGTGGCTCCTGAATGCCCAAGAAATCCCAGATTATTGACATGAGTGCCAAGTGTGGTTGGGCCATGGTAAGCCAGTGTAGGTCAAGATGGAGTTAGTGTGGGGATCACAGGCTTGATTCCAGGTGAGGTGGGGCAGATTGCTGGGTCAGAGAAGGTGGGGGGGAGAAGCTGGGTGATTGGATGCTTCTGCACTTCACATACAACACCATGAATGTGCTGCAGCTTCTGGCAGTGTGCCCTGCAGCAACCAAGTAGCAACCTTGCTTCCTTCTTCCCTTGCACCCAGCTTCTGGGCATGCACCAGCACCAGCATTTGCTGGAAGAGGGGCAGTGGCAGTTGGAGTAAAAGGAAGACTTGTGCAGTGTACATAGGTGGTGCTTCACAGTGCTTCTTGCATGGCTTGTGGAGGAGGGTGGGTCAGCCACTTGAATCCTCTATGCATGGGATCAGCAATACCCATATGGCTTGGGCACTGAGAATATGTTAGCTTGTCTGGGCATTATGCAGAATATTCTGCCCTCACTTTAGCAAAAATCCATCCATAGTTCTCAGGCTTTTCTCCAGAGGCATTCTTGCAAACTTGTGGGAGTAATGATTTCTTGCAAAAGTCACACTCAGCAAGTGGTATTCTGGGTCAAGTTTGTTCTGGATACAGCTGCAGGACAAAGTCCACATCCATGTGCTGCCCATCTGCCATTGTAGGCAACAATGGCCCCAGTGACATTTTTGGAGAAAAAAGAAGTTAAGTGGGGAAAAGAAGCATGGGACAAAAAACACACACACTGAAACAAGCACAGAGTGACAGCAATCTTGTCATTATGACATAGCTATTGCCTTATCAGTCCAGATCTGGTCAGGGTCTACCCCATCGATACTTACATCAGCACAGAGAAAATCTTCTCTCTGTGCTGATAATGTGTCTCAAAGTTTTTGAAAAAAAACTATTTTATTATTATTTAATTATATCTAATAATACATTCAATGGTGTATATACTTGTATCTAAGGGAGGATGAGGGGAGGGTGATGGGGAGAGGGAGGGAGAGGAGAGGGAGAGGGAGAGGGGTGATGGAGGGAGAGGAGACGGAGGAGGGAGAGGAGACAGAGGAGAGGGAGGAGAGGGAGAGGGAGAGGGAGAGGGAGAGAGGTGATGGAGGGAGAGGAGACAGAGGAGGGAGAGGAGACAGAGGAGAGGGAGAGGGAGAGGGAGAGGGCAGGCAAGCAGGAGAGGGAGGGCAAGGG